CTTAGCAGTCGCCGAGAGGAGCTTTTTCTTTCTTTCTAATTACAGCACGGCCTGGTCCAGCCAGGGACCATTGTGCCAGGGCGCTGTGAATTCCCACAATGGAGCTGCTCAGCGGAGAACAATGAGTCAAATTCCTGACCGTTCCCCGCAGGTTCAGAGGCCGGGCTGACAAATAAAGACAGCAGAGTTACAGTGGCTTTGCTATTCTACACCCAGTAGCTTTCCCACTGGCCACCCCAGTGGGGATATTGGTTTGTGTTTGTGTGTGTGTTTGTGTGTGTGTGTGTCCCTGTTTATGTGTGTGCGTCACAGGGTGGCTACAGCTCCCGCTGGGAGCACAGGGAGGGGTTGAAAGATGGGGGAGGTGAAGAGGAGGGAGCTTGTTCTTTCTGTAGGAGGTGAAAGACTCTTCGCGCTTTTCTAGTGTAATAGAACCCCTGAGAACGAAAAGTTGGCAACCTAAAGCCGCATTGAAGGCATTGTTGATCAGAATTGATCATAGATCAGACAGAGCGCTGAACTTGTGTAAGATTTCATGTACAAACCTGTTCTAATTACGTTTTCAACATAGAAACACGAGTCTCGGGCTTGGCCACATTAAACACAATCTGCCATTTTTATGCGTCTGTACAGATGGGAAATATTGAGATTGTGACAAGAATAGCCCAGCCATTTGCAAGCGGAAGGGTTCTGTTGTTTACATTGCCAGAAATGTCTTCTTACACAGCCTTTAAGTAGGCTGCAGAGCTCGAAGGCCTCCAACAGGGCCTGGCTGCACTTGTTGCATCCAGACTGGAATATCAGGGGTTGTTGCTTTCCCAGCTGTCCAAAAATACGCCTGCGTGTGTGTGTGTGCGTACTAGCATGCGTCTATACACTGAATCTGTTGTGTTAGCAACCTGTTCTGCACGTAATCATTGTTTACTGAATGGGAGATGGTGGGTGGTAACAGAGACCCCACACTGAACAGCAGATGCCGTACTGAGACACACATGCTGGCATTTACCACTCACCTCCTTCTCTGTGTTTATTGGGCACAGACTTTGACAGATTTCATTCAGACGCCCTCTTCTTCCTCATGCAGGGAAGGTCTTTTTTAGCCATATGTGAAAACTGGAACTATATTAAAATGCGTAACTTCTATGAGTTTGTCATGCACAGTGAAACTGTCAAGTGGTTCTTAATACAATTTTCATTAATTGATTTCTTGTTCCAACTATAAAATGTCAAAACAGTCCAAATGCTCCATCATTCCCTATATCCTAAGGTGATGTTGGCCCTGACACACCAAGCCAATGGTTGGCTGTTGGTCAATGTCAGGCCATTGGTGAGTGTTTTTCTCCCCAGTTATTGCAGTGTGTCCCGCACCAATGGCACTAGTCGGCCCTTGTCAGCTCTTTTTCAGCTGATTCAGCATGTTGAATTGAGTTGGAGATGGCAGAACCTGTTGGTGAATGTAATCACTCTGATTGGCAGTTAAGCTGCAGTGCACAAGAAGAGAAACAAAAGCAAGTAAAGCACATAAACACGTGGGGTTTTTTTTGCTAGCCCACAGTTAATATCTTTTGTTCTTTCATCATCAGGTTGTGTTGTCATTGAGCTAGCTGGCTAACTAGCATCTTGAATTCGTCCTATCGGTCTTGTGGTTTCCCTTTTTGAATGACCAAAACAGACTACAACTGCCTGCTGATATGGGAAGTTATTTCCTCTCATGCAGGCACAGAACATACATGCTAGTTGGCAGTTGGTTGTAGTCTTTGTGGTGTGTCCAAGTCCAACCTTTTGGCTGAGACACAGGCAGTGTGCGGTGATGCAACAATTGCTTTCGCCGCCACTAGTTCTTTGATGTTGGTTTTGCGTGTCTGGGCCTTAACAGTCCATAATACAAAGATGTACAGTGAAATAAACTAAGGAAAACACAGCAAATGCTCCCATTGGAGAAGCTGGAATAAGGTATAATTCACTGTTTGTGTTTATTGGAACATTACAGGACCATGCTTTCATGTGTGCTATTGTTAGTATAACTAGTCATGACATTTCAGTACTCTTTGAATCAACTTGTAATCACAGTGAAATTTGGAGGGCACTGGATGTTTGTCCAGCTATCGGGCGATGCGATGCATCTGACGTTGGTGCTTTGTGTCACACCCACTTACTCTGGTTTGAGAACATTTGCCAAGTGGTTCACAGAGGCCATAAAAGTCCTCCAAAGCGTTTCATCCTGCGCAGGCTTTTGTAGAGCATTCACACAGTCCTCCCTTGTGCCTCCCCCTTTGCTCAATTCACAATAACATGACACTCTATCTTCTTTACTGGTTACTCTACCTTTAATGAAAATTGATAGTCTCGCACACACATGCACACCCCAGCTGCCATTGATCCAGGCCCAATAAATGTTTTATAAGCCCAACTGTAAGGACACCCCTCTTTTATTCACAAGGTGTCAATAGTTGAGTCCACAGGGAAAGATTGCAGAGCTACCTTCCTCTTAGGGCCCCTGAATTCAGTGGCAGAGTAATATATTTTCTTTGTAGCACACATTCACCCTTATCCTCAATCACTGGCGACACACAAGTGCTGGGTCTCCTCCTCTAATGAACGTAAACGCACTTAAAATTGTTCCAATTCAAAGCTAATGTAGATCAGTTTGGACCCAGGAGTGACCTGGACTCTCTGAGGTCATACTTCTAGGATCAGGAATAGGATGTGTGGGAAGGAAAACACTTGCCAATGAATGGATGAAAGTGAGTGGCCTCACATTTATCAATTAGCAGGTGCAGATTCATTCCTCCCACATTTTCTTTCCAGACTGTTTTCCCATATCTAGTCCGTCTGTGTGGGTTTTATAGAACAAGCGAGCTAAAAAAAAAAAAACACAGTGTAAGCCTCAGCCAGTCTTATTGTAAGCTGAACCACAAGTTCCCCTTCAGTTCTTTCTTCTGGTTGGTGAGGAGGGTGGCACCAGTCCACAGGAAATGCCTTTTTAACACAGCAGGAAGGAGAAAGGTTGCCCTCTCTGAGCCTGAGTCTTTGTTTTTGTCTGATGGCATTAAGAGACCGGCCCAGTGTTTGTGTTCGGCTTGTGATTGTGCTGTTGTGGGTTCAGGCCAGTACTCAGTCCCTCAAAGTCTTACATTGTGAAGTGGATTTCCTCGCTGTTGGCCAGTCAAGGGTTAAGCTCAAAATTCTCTGAAGTCTTCTGAATTAGCATGCCAAGGAATGAGAAAAATCCAATGAGCCTAACTGGACTTGACTTGTGTGGCGGCTAATGGTTAACAAGGCATGATGGAATTTCCCTTTGATTCAGTAGAGGTGAGTTGAGCTCTCACAGATATTTTCTCAAGGATTGAAAACGCTGTCATAACTGAACTTTGATGCCATAATGGAATTTTAATGGCCTTGAAGGAAATCCTCTGTAGGTAGTGTGAGCCCACAATGCAGCATATCCCAATGTGTGGTGGTACTGTGATGTCAATTTCTACAATAAATGTGTCTCAAAGGGCTGCAGTACCAGAAAGTCAGGGAATCATAATGCAAGTAACTTGGCTGCTGTTCTTTATTTGTTTGCTTTATTAGCACCGTACTGACGTCTGTTCATCCTAGGGCTGTAACCGAATCAGAATTTTAAGATTTGGATAACATTTAGGTGTACATACAAAGATTCAACTATTCGCTCCCTGTTTTTAGCATGCACTCCATGCGTAACAGTGCCTCTTTTATTAAGATGGTCCTGCCTACTTCAAACCAGTAAGGAGAGAACATAGAGCATAAAAGAAACAAAAATCTCTAACATAAAATAATCAATACTGTACTAACTTTGGCAAAAAAACATGTTTGTTTTTAGGTTGAACATGTACGTGCGCTGATACAAGCAATATGTACAGTGTGTACTCTTTATGTATCCTGATGCTCTGATATTTGCAATCTAATCTTGTTTGGTTAGCATTTCACTACCACGATCCACACACACACTCACACATATACAATATCACCTGCTTTGCATACTCTGTGCAACACATGTACAGACAGAGTGTCACAGAGGCATAAAGACATGAGGTGCCAATCACAAAAATGGCTCAGTGACCACAGAACACACCCTGTAGATCTTCACTCATATCTACACGCCCTACATTTTATATGGATGCAGTTATCAACTGTTGAGTTACACATTCCTTTAAGAGTAAAGCTTTTTATGACTTGAATATCAAACTGAAATCGGATCGGCCAGACCCTCACACTGAAGAGTATTACTTGTGAGGGAGAGTGTGAGGCATGGTTAGAGGGAGTCGAGTGTGTCTTTCAGCTGACAGGTCTTTTAGAAAACGGGGCACAGGGCCATGTATCTGCAGCTGCCCCCTCTCTGTGCGCTCTTTGATGGGGAGAAAGACGGCGTTTACTTCTACACCCACAGCTATACAAACACACAAAGGCTTGTTTTTAAACTATCTGGTCTTAACACCACTTAAAGATCCGCTGAGCGACACATTGCATGCATAGGGAGGGTGTGTTTATGAGTTTGTTTCTCGTGAATATTACTTATTCTACAGAATCAGAAAAGCCTACATCACACATGTGTGAGTTACATCCTGGTATGACCAGAGCAGTTGGTAGTGTAATGGTCACTCATTTGTTATTGCTGCTCTAAATAGTAGCAAGGGGACGCCCCTGACACTGGCCCGTTTATTGAAACACACACACACCCATACACTCACAAATATAGCCTTCCATTGTTTAACCAGCCCAACAGACTTAAAGGTCTCAACTGTTACTCTGTTAATGGTGTGTTTGTCTAGCAAAGATAGCAGTCCCACCTGTTTTTAGGGCACATGCTAATAAAGATACAGTAGTTCGGCTGAATTCTATTTTTGGTTTTCCATTGGGGCATAAAGATCTTGAAAATGACAGTTGAACTGAACCTTTCTGAAGTAGCAGACTGTTGTGTATTTTCAATTTTTGTCTAATGAGTCCCTCTGTTTGCTTTGTTCATCTTCTGTGTCCAGGTCTGGACGACAGCCTGCAGCAATATGTGAGCAACTTTGAGCGGGAGAAGATCAGTGGGGAGCAGCTACTGAAGATCACACATCAAGACCTGGAGGAGCTTGGCGTGGCCAGGATTGGACACCAGGAACTGGTGCTGGAGGCTGTCGATTTACTCTGTGCTCTGGTCAGTCGATCTCTGTTACCAGTGTGTGTGTGTGTGTGTGTGTGTGTGTGTGTGTGTGTGTGTGGCTAATGTGATGTGTATCTAGATACAGTGCATGGCTGTGGGATGGAACTGTATCTTCAGGAAGGATTTGCTACAAAGCAGGGGCTCTCTTTTGGTCACTGTCCCTCCCCCCCTCGCTCTCAGTGTTCACATTCACTAAAACCCAGCCTGTAGTTTCTGGTTCGGCAGCTAAAGGACCCAGCTATGCAGAAGGGCTCTTCATTTCTCACACAGCTCAGCAGGGTGCAACGGCACAACAACACACGAAGCAAGCCCGAGGACACTGGGGAACATTAGTGTCACTCAAGAGGAGGAGAGATGGATCTAAGTGGCCTTGGGCTCGATTTGGCAGTTAGACACTTGGAGGTTACTAGAGGCAGTTAATGGTAATCACGCAGCGACAATTAACAGTTTGATCTGTTCAATAGATAAAACCTCTCTCCCCATTCTCCTTTAAATCTTTAGTCTTCTTCACTCACAAAATACATACACACAAGGAACTTCTCTCTTAAACAAACAGAAATGTCAGGCAAGTCATTCTTACTGCCGCAACCATTGACTCACCTGAGCCATCTTTCTTGGTTCATTTATAGCTCCCCCCGTTTGGCTCCTCTTAGTCACTCTGGGAGCGAACCAGCTGCCCCTTTGTCAATCATCATAGCTTCCAGAAGCACTGCCAGCAAAAATATATCTGCATACAACCAGTGAGCACGAAAAGAGTGATGAAAAGCCTCCATGCTCCAACTGAAAGAGAACCAGGTTTCCAGCAGATGGGATCGATTTGGAGTTTTATCACTTCCTGTGCCATAAACGTCCCAGATTGTGGTCCCTGTGTTTTGATCAGTGTCAGCATTTCTGCCTTTATACTCTCTTAAAACGCTTTACATTAATCGTTCGGGGCATGGTTATTTTTACCCTGCAGAAACAAAAAAGTTCATTCTCCTCTATCCTACATGAGGCGACATTTTGCATCAATGCTGATCTGAAAGCTGTGGGTCAGATGGCTGAAGATTGATGCATTTCATGACTCTAAAAGAAATGATTTCTTTATCAGTCATCTGCCACCTCAGCACACTGAAGCTGTGCATGTCGCCTGTGTGAAGCAAGCACATGTGCGATTTAGTGTGCGGTTAGAAAACAACTGTCGTTATTTGGCATGCATCATTCCATGGCTCCTTTGTGTTGGGGGTCACATGTTGAGCTAGTAGTTTACATGGCAGCTTGTAGCTACAATCTCGAAATCTATTCCTGGAGATTCTTCGAGGACCAAGTTGTAGAGATTTAACTGGGGCAAGGTAAGGCCCAGACACACCAAACCATCGTCAAAGAACTAGTGGCAATGAAGGTCAACTGTTTGGTTGCCTCATGTTGCCTTTGTCTCAGCCCAAAAGTTGTACTTGAACACAGCGCAAAGACAACAGCCAATGGCCAACTAGCACATATGTTCTGTGCCTGCGTGAGAGGTAATAACTCTCCATGGTGCAGGACGCACAGCAGAACCTAGGGCAGTAGACGCTCACCAACAACCTGACACTGACCGACGGCCGATCATCTGCTTGATGTGTCAGGGCCCTTAGAAAAAGCTAAGCTAGGCAAGCTGTTCTTTACCTGTTAACAGTATTCCTTTACCTGTGGACACCTGGAAGCACTCGACACATATAGTCCACGGTTGCCTTTTTTGTTTTGATAGATTTACTCATCACAGAATATGTACCATATGGTCCATCCTGTGGTCCATAACCTCTTATACCATCATAGTAATCAGGCCCAGATTTTTGTTCACCCCTAGAGCCTTGACATCATGGCAGTGAAATCTCAAGCCATTTTCCTCTTGAGCGGCTTCATAAATTTGGCCCACAAAGTGCTTCCTCAGCATGGTTTTGTTATTTTAAGTAGACCCTTTTCCTTGCATGTGATCTTTATCATCCTTCTCAGAATGTGCTGCTAGTTTGTAAGAGAGTGCCTGTGTGTGTGTGTGTGTGTGTGTGTGTGTGTGTGTGTGTGTTTGCATGCGTGATGGAGTATTCGGCACACTGTATTTATTCCCTCCTTTTCTGTCCTTTGGAACTTAAAACCAGGAATGCTGGACTCTGAGCAACCTCTCACCTCTCACTGTAGCAGTCCGGCTAAATGTCTTTTGTCTGTAAGGGGTTTCCTTATTAAGAATGAGACCTCGGCCTTCCACAGACCCCGTGGGAGGAAGTGAGGCCCCGATTCAATTAGCTTTAACTGAGTCAAGGTCACTGCTACCAACAGGAACGCAGGCCACCAGCACCCAAAACCCCCACAAGCTCTCACACTCTCCCCAGACTTTCTGTCTTTTTGTTTACTGTTAGGTCTGACACTTCCTGTTGCTGCAGCCACATTCATCCTTGAGACACTCTGCTGCAAGGCTTTGCTCTTGAACTTTAAATGTAAAAGCATGTACAGACATAATAGAGATTTTCATATTTCAGGGACCTGAGCTGTCCTGTCAGCAGGTTCAAACCTATATCATGATGATCAATGACCTAACATAAAACCCTTTAGGAAATATCAATACTCATGCTCCTCCTCCCCCTCTAAGCTATCAAGAGCAAACTGCTGTCTAGGGACAAAGAGAGAACGTTTAAATTAATTTTACCGGACTTCTCTGAGCTGTGATGGCTTCTGCAGAGGCGATGTTGAAACCCAGCACTTCTTTATTTGTTCTCAGACCCCAGCGACCCAATCAAGACCAGCATCACATGATAATCATGCACAAATTAGCAGTCTTCAGCAGCCATGGCACATTGTAGCAACAGACACAAACATGCACACACTCTAGGCTTCAGACATTTGTATCTTTTATAGTCAAGTCAGATCCATGTAATGCCCGCAGCGAGGGCAGGAAGTGCTGTGTTATGATAGCCATTCTCCATTTCTCCCGAGGACACTTATACCAGTATATAGTCTCTTCAAAGAGCCCCAACTAGGGTCTACACAAAAAAGCCTCTGCCATCTTTATTCTAGATTAACTGAATGTCTATAAAAAGGCACCGAAGAAATGTAAATTTGGCTTAAACTGTTGTTATGGGAATGAAAAATTGCATTTGACTGGAAGCACAGATTTTCGCTCAGACGTGGTTTTTAGTTTAGCTGGCAGTGTGGGACAAAAGCTCGCTGGACATCTGTGGGCCAGTTAGAACTGCTGTGACTGTGTGATTAGCCTGCTAATGAAAAAGCCAGGAGACGTTTGATCTAGAAAACACTCGCACTGCCTTTGTGCTACAGTTCTACTTTCACTGTGTGGATGACTGAATGAGAAACCAAACCATTAAATGATTTATTTCCCTTTCCCCCCATATATTCACTAAGTATGTTTTCTTATCTTTTATGATGTTTTAACAATTCATTTCATGTCAATTGTGCAGTGAGTAAGGCTGCCTACAGCTACTGTTTAACTAGTCCAATTTTTCCAGTGATTCCTCGAGTGACACAACTGGAATGATTTGTATGTTTTTTTGAGCTCATGTTGGAGCGAGGCAGCAGAATAGACGGAGACACTAACCACTTGCAGATCCCACTTGTTTCCCCAATCACGTGCTGTGTTACTCCTTGCTAAGCATATTTAGCTACTGGCACATCACACATACAGCAGCACTGCTGGCAGCAATGCAACACCATGTAAGCTGATATTTACCAGGACAGGAGCCAGGCCACCCTTTCCCTGCTTACCTTTAATCAACACATTATTCCCAAGCCTATTTATTCAGTCAAAACATCGCAAAGACTTTAAAACAAAGCTCTTATAAATATTTGACAAGTGCTCAGGCGCAGTGTCACTTTACCCTGCCAGAAAAAAATGGGCACGCTTTTGTAGCTCATCACCCTACGGTGGTTTAGTGCATAGCTGATCTGTAGTGTACCTTGTGACCCTTGAAGACGCAGAGCTCGGCCGCTTTGTGCATGTGAATAACCTATAAATCGGAGGAATGCAAAAGCAGGAAACAGCTCAGGCTCAAGAATGCAAACTTTGCCCCGCTTGGTAGGAATCAGGTGCTGGCACGTGCACACTCTCCCTGCACGCTCTGGAACAAACCTGCAGACTGGAGGGAAAATTTCATGCCTGAGCTGTCCTCACAAACAAGTCTTCTTAAATGATATATGTCAAAGAAGTGATTACAGCTCTCCATTGTACAGGAAACAACATGTTGTCCTGGGAATAAGACTGTTGAACCTCCCACGTCTAGACTGTGTCGAAGGATTGTTTGCTTTGATCTGGAGTTTTATTGGCAATAAATATTATTTCAGCTTCAATCATGAGTGTGTGCTTTCTCCATTTGTGTCTGACCTAGTTAAAATGCTGTATTGATTTTCCGTTTCAGAACTATGGGGTAGAGACGGACAACTTGAAGAATCTGGTTGTGAGGATGAGAGCTGCCACCAACAGTCTGCACATGGCCACGTCTGACCGCAGGAAAAGCCCCGCGTATGATGGGAGCATGTCGCGCAAGCCACCCAACGACTTCCTCACCTCTGTGGTGGAGCTGATCGGCGCTGCCAAGAGCCTCCTGGCTTGGCTCGACAGGTAATAACTTTTTTTTTTTAACCACCAATTACCTGTGCACTCTGAGTCAGACCAGATAACAGAAGGGCTGTCGTAAGACTTCTGCTTAAACTAGCTGCACAAATACAGAGTAACTTTAGTTGTTCTCCTTACTTAGTGTCGAAGTTAACAGAATAGTTTCATATGACAAAACCTTGAGGAGAAACATGGGACTTATTTAAAATGTTTTTGGCCCTTGATGGACACCTATGGGCTATGAATGGATTGAGTTTGTGACCTCCTCTGTCATAGTGCAGGGTCATATTGTATTATGGAGCACGGGAAATATAACGTCTATGGATATGACGGTCAAGCAGATACATGCATTCATCTTTGGCATTAAAAGACATCTTCACAACGTTACTATATCCATGCTGATGGCCATATCAACACTGTATACAGCTTTAGAGCAGAAGTGCAACCCCCTTGCAAGCTTTAAGACCGGAGCTGGCAGAGTCCCCTGTGTTCTCCTGGTGACCTGCTCCACATCACACCATAAAAGCAGAGCATATTAAGCAGGTTGCCAGGATTAAGTGTTAGCTGGCTGAAATTAAGCTTCTCTTTTTGTGGCATGCTCGGCTAAAGAGGGTAAGATGACGTCACGATTTAAATGGTAGTTGTGATGTTGAGATGAGAGAGCAGTGTAACAGTGTTTAGAAGTGCTGTGCAAAAATTACATGTTTTGACTTTGAAATTTAGTTTTTAAAGTCATTATGTGCTACTACTGTGTATATTTTTCATCTTAGTTTAGTAATTGTCAATGTTAAAGCAGTTAGATCATTTTCACTGAGATATTTGTGCTGTCGAAAGACACAAAAGCTCTGATTTAGTGTGTGATGATACATATAAGATATGGGGTACATGGGGTAAGATATGGGTTTCGTTTTGTGAACAACTGGATATAATGACCCACACTGACATATTTTTAAAAAATAAATGCATAGGGGGTTGGGGGCTGATGTTTGGGTAGCTATTCTGTAGTACATAAGCATATGTTTTAGATGGAGTCAGGGGGAAAGAGACACAAAAGAAGATAAAATGGCGCCAGAGCGGTGACATTCTTGACTGACAACCAAGTCTTTCTGTGGCCAGTCACCCAAACACAGCAATCAGAGCAAGGTTCACTGAGTCTATTATGAAGTGTAGCGTTAGCAGCTTCCAGCTGATTCCACAGTAAATCACTTGAGACACATGCTGCCTTGCCACTTTATTAGGTACATATATACAGTCTAATGCAATCCAGTGCAACACCTCTGCCACATATTCTTTGTTAATGATGCTTATAATGGCCTGTTTTGTTGAAACTTTCCAAGAGGTGTTAATTCAATTATATGTTTATTACTGAAGTCATAGTTAGTGACGGTGTTATACAGGACTGCATTATATTGAAATGTGTTTCCAATGTTTGTCCTCCCTCGGAAACACCTCTCAGTTTAATGTAATTAATTTAAACACCAATGCAAACTACAGTCAGTAATAAAAACAGGGTTAAATGAATACCTTTCTGACAGCGTCATTCAAATCTGAACAGTATTGTCTGTGTGAAGGTAGATTTAATGACTGAGCTGTTGCATTGGATTGCATTAGATTTTAAAGGTGTGTCTAATAGATTTGCCGCTGAGTGCAGATTCTGTGTTTCTGTCTCAGGTCATTTTTACTAGACATTTTGGCGGTTAATATCAAACATTTTAATGCGGTCATGCAGCTTCAACGAGTAACCTAAGCTCAACTTGACTCTGCTGTCCATCACTGGTTCCTAATATTCTCCCTTTCCTTCTTTGTCTGTTTGCAGGACGCCTCTTACAGGGATCAGTGACTTCACAGCCACCAAGAACAAGATCATTCAGCTGTGCCTGGAGCTCACCACCACAGTTCAACAGGTCTGCACGCTAATTAGCTCAACAGCACACGTGTAGCTATAGCCCCTGGGAAACACACACAGACATACACACACACAATAGGTTTTTCCACTGAGCGCATAGCCCGGGGGCACAGACACGCAAGATAAAGTGTAGGAGAGGAGAGTTATGGGAAATGTGGTCTGGCAGCCATGACACAAGCCTGAAGCCAGCAGTCTGAGCACATTATTGCAAATGCTGATGTTTTTCTTGGGATCTTTTCCTCCCCATGCTGGCTAATGAGGAGACCCCCTTTAGTGCGGGGACGTTTAATGGTAACCGTCGCTTTTGTGTTTCCACTTTCATAAAACCCGCTGGCGCTGTTTTAAAAGGCGACTGCCAACATTCCCCAGGCTGCCATACTCCTTCAGCCATGTGGTTCCTGTTTTTACTTCTCCAAGATGCTCGCAGTGGGAGAGCAAACTGTCTGAAAGCGCTTCCTGCATGTAGGTTTAACGCAGGGGATGAGGAGGTGGTCCATCTGACTGCCAGATAGATGGCTAACGCTTAAAACAGAGCATCAGCCTACATTCACTATATTTCACAACTTTCTGAAGAGCATTGCTCTGCCATTGCATCATGATACAATTGGGTGTCTACTTCTGACAGTGTCATGCAACCAGCAAAGATTTGGTCATACATATGTCTTAAACAAAGGGAGCTGGTGAGTGGCCTGTTCTTCTATCAAAGCCATTAGCCTGTATGCACAATTTGTTCTCCCTAAAGGGTTTGACTTAAGCATGGCCCGGTAAGCGACTTATTTTACACTGCCAGTGAAAGTGGCTGCTGAGACTGCAGGTGTCATTTTTAGAGGGTTATTGCATCAAAATAAATTCCTTTCCCAGAGTGCCTATTTCCTTGCCAGAGTCGGGGATTTCAGCACCTCTGGTGATTTACTGTGGGTGTCTCGGTCATGGCCATCCAGGAGAAGTCGGGGGGTATACATTTCCCACACTGCCATGTGAAGTGGGGAGGTTATGGTGTAGAATCAGATTGGTCCTCTGTTTTTAATCAGCTCACAGCAATGCATGTAACAGAAACACTCATGAGGAGTCTCACTTCCAACTCATCAAACCATTTAAGTATCTAAGCTGACAGATAGACTCTTGGCTTCCTTTCTCATTTTTCTGGACCATTGAGACTCCCTTTGTTATTCATAACATGTAGGCCAGAGTATGAGCCACTGGTTAATAAAAAAGGTTGCACAGGACACTGCCACAGTGATTAGTTTTATGATGGGGGAGGATGGTGTGAGGTTTGCCCGGCTCGTTCATGAACTTCAGCCAAGAATTAGGGCTTTTCAGATCACACAATTTATGTGTTCTGCCTGAATGGAGCCTGTGTGTACACACACAATGGGACATGGCCATAAAACTGTGAACGCATCACCCATCTTGGCTGACCCGTCAGAGTGGAGGTCATTCTCTTTCAAAGAAGACATTTTTCATCAATCCCCCGTCTCTTTTATCTGTGCTTCCCACTCCTGGATTGTTGGCGCAGATATGAAATTAAAGGTCTCTGTTTTTATCAGAAAAACAGAGATTTCATCATGCAGGCCAAAGACTAAACAAATGTATCTATCATATGTTAATACCTTATGAATAATAGGATGTCAGAAGGTCAGGTCTTTATTTCACTCCTGTGTAAAGGCAGCTACGCTCCGGGTTCCTGCACTGTGCCAGCACTCCTCTCTCTCAGCCACTTCATTGCTCGACCATGCAAATCTGCTCCGGTGGCAGATCAAAGGCCCAGAGAGCAGCACACAGAGAGAGTCATCTGATCCACACCGGCTGTGGGATCAAGTCCATAACGTGAGGGATCAGTACACCCAGGGAATTGTCCCTCAGCCTCTCTCAGCGCTTAGTTACGATCTGGCTCCTGTCTACGAGAAAGACTTTGGTTTTGACAAAGATATGGGATTCATTTGGATATCACGGAGCGATCTTAGAGGGATTATGTGTGATATTGTATTCACATGATTCGATGGTACTCTACTGTGAAACAAGAAAAATGTTTCATAAATGTCAAAGCTTGATCGGAGATGTGCCAGGCCTTGTCTCCAGCACATAATGATACTGTTTTGTTTCACGACCTCTAAACATCAAAATATGTATTTTTAGCTCATTCCTCTTGGCTCAGTCAACAGTGTAGGCATCCAAACACGGGCCAGTCTCTAAAAGAAATATGTAGACGCGTGTTTACGCAAGGATAGACAAATTCTTTTAGAAACCACCATAAGTTCTTGGCTGAATTCAGAAAATACATTGTAGGAAAACATACATTTGGGACCAATATATTTCAAATGAAACCTATTATAATTGTTTTTTCCTACTTAATGTTTACATTGGCTTTTCATTTTTTCCCCTTAAGTAAGGGAGATGAGGCAAAGTCAAATGTGTATTACTTTTCCAAATTAGCTTAGCCCTTTACGCAGGCACTCGAACACGTCTTATTTAGGGAGCCTAGGAGGAACCCTGCTTTAACGTGAAGCCATCGCTCACGGCCACAGACAGTCGTGCAAATCCTGTCAATGCAAACAAATTAACAGTATGCCGAGCTATGTGCATGTGAAAACAGACGCTCCCCTTTAGCCCTTTGGAATGTGCAAGCTATGGAAATATGGAAAAACTTGCTCGACCCCCATTCGCTGTCTGCACAATGGATTTACAAAGAGCAACAGAGCTGGCTTTGTACATGGCACATGCCCATGCATGTCACTAATACTGTGAGGGCCACAGCACCAGTATCCCTTTATGATGCATTGACAACGGCTTGTTGGGACTCCGGAGAAAGAGGAGACTTGTTGAGGTAGATCTGCTGTGCTCTCTAGTTTTGACAGAAGCATCTCACCTGTGTTTTGATGGATGGCTTCCCTTGGGGCATTCCCAACATAGAGACAATTTCATAAACAGGCAGGGGCCCCCCGCATGCACTGTGAACCCCCCCCCCCCCCCCCCCCCCCCCCCCCCCCCCCCCCCCCCCCCCCCCCCCCCCCCCCCGAACCTTACTAGGGGCCCTTTCACCACTAACAACACAGTTGTCAGGGGAGGCTGTTGCCTCAGCTGTGGCCACTCCAGCTGCAGTCTATGAGGGCTGTGTTGAGACACTTGGAGGGGACGCTGGTCTCTCAGCTGACTTTGCAGATTTTATCACCGGTTCCTTCCCCCAAACAACCAAGATCACCGCTACTGTGTCTTATTTGAGTTCAAGAACCCCTGCTATCACTGGCCCACCCACTTTTTTAACTGTGGAAAGCAGTGATGCATTCAAGTGTTTGCAGAAAACCAAAGCTCTTTTTGGATGAGGGCTTTCTGAACATCATTACATGTTTTCGCCAATTGTTTCCCACCATGTCATCTGCACATTTTTGCTGTGTGAGTGTTAGTATGGTATTTACGTTCCAATATAGTCCTGAACCACACTGCGCATTATACAATTATAGCTTCCCCAGAATTTAGGCAGAGAGGTAATTTGAGCCTAAAAGCTGTTTATTTGAGGCTGTTCTCCATTTTTCTCAGCTCTATATCTGGAATGCTGATTATATCGTATTTACCCAACCCCTATACTTTTTCTGCTTCTCAAGCCATTGACTAACGTCTTCCTCTTCCCTGTTGTTTACTGCTCACAAGCCTAATCTGTCATCACTGTCTTCTTTGTAACAGGACTGCAGTGTTTACGAGATGGAAGAGAAGATCCTGGAAGTTGTAAGTATACTGTATCTCTCCTCTTTGTTTCACCTAATATAAACTAAACGAGACCCTGAAGTTCCCATACGGGGGGGGAAAAGGTCTGCTAGATCGTTTGGGTATTTGTCTTTATACAAAGAGATTGTGTGACATGCTCTCGGTAGCAAGGTCCGCTTTGTGGGTGAATGGAGCAGACCCGTCTATAGGAATGCCAGCAGAGGAGGCGGCTCTAATACGCCCCAGCCATCAATCAATGTTTCCTGTTGCTGACACTCTCCAGACCCCTTGGGCTAATACTGGGCTTCCTCTAGCACTCTGTCTGTCTCTCTCTCTCTCTCTCTCTATCTCTCTCTCTCTCTCTCTCTCTCTCTCTCTCTCTCTCTCTCACTCTCTCAGAAAACCCAAACGAAGTCAACATTAGAGCCAAGTCCCTCTCTGACCGTTTCTTTGTCGGATGCTCAGCTCCACATAAAGTGTACAGCATGTGTTCAAAACAAAATGCATGTGCCTGAGAGGACACTTCATAGAAAAGACCCCCTCTAATGATGACAAATGACAGTTTTTGTCCTTAAACAAGCAAGGGACAGAGCAAGAGGAAGGCTGGCATGCACAGGACTGATTTTAGTGTTGTGTGTGTGCACTGCTATGTTCAGTTAATAGCACACTAATGGTCCCTTTTAGCCCATTAAGCCTTGCACTGAACATGAGCATTATACACACACAAAGGCATGTACACAGGGAGTAAGGCCACTAACTGATGAAAAATAAAGTCTATGCGTCATGAGTGTCACGAGTAGCAGTGTAACCTGACTTGTTCCAACTTGTTCAACACACAGTGGTTATTAAATACACCATTAGAGTATTAAGCACAATGCTTATAATCACTGTGAGAAATGTATTAGTCTTTGGCTTCCTATTTTATTTACTAATGAATTTTCTTTTGCCTTTACCTCTTCAGTCAAAGATTTTGAACAACATCTGTGATCAGACTGTGAGAACCACCTCTGACCCCCTGATGAGCCAGTCGGCCTGCTTGGAGGAAGTCCAGCTGACCAATATCAAGCCGGGAGAGGGTCTGGTAAGGAATGCTGGGAGATTTTTTTTTTTGACTCTTAAACACAATATCTGCCCCCTGGGACTGCAGGCTAGGAATGCATGCAATGTGTATCAAATTGTGACCCTCACATCTCGGTCATACATGTCTCTCCCTCTGGGAATGTTTTATTTGTACTGAAAATCTTGTGGGTTTTCTTTGTGCCTTAGGGGATGTACATCAAGTCTACCTACGATGGGTTACATGTCATCACGGGAACCACAGAACATGTAAGTTTGACAATATGCTGACCACAAGCATACATTTGCCCCTTCCCACGCTCATGCTAACCAGTAAAATACAGTATTCTCTATAAACAGATTCTTTATATGTATGCAGAATCTGTAGGCAATGGAACAAGATTTTGCTATCGGAAGTGTTCTGGTTTCTGTTTAAAGTCCGAGCTATGTTGACTAATCACATTTGAACGCAGGAAAACAGTCTGTGTGGAGAGACGTAAGGCAATGGCCAAAATGCAAACTCAGAACCCATCTGCTATAGCTTCCGACGACGATTTAGCTTTGCATAATTTTTTTTTTTTTAATATATATGTCTGTTTATAAAGATTAACTGAAATGGTTGGTTCACAGAAAAGGAAATTTTGGTTTGGATATCTGCTGGCTACATTAGATCAGCCTGAAATATTGGCTCTCGCCCCCAGAGGCTTTATCGTTGTCAGATGATGGCCAGTGGGTTCTGAGATCGTAGTGAGAGAGAATGGTTGTAGTCTAGAATGAAACAGTTGGCCATTTAGATTGCTTTACATCATATGTCATATGGGTCATGCCAACCCATTAGAAATTCAGAACGTTTCCCAGTTCAAGTCTCTTGAATGTAGTGCATGTGTACACAGTCAAAATCACCAGTAGTGCCTGAAAGGTTATCCCAATAATTTACCTGGAACTATGTGTGAAAGAGGCAAAACAAAGAATTGTAAAAATAAGGATTTAGCTCTGAGAGCCAAACTTCAAAAATTCCTGACAAAAATATAGCTAGAGGATTTAAGATCACATGAATTCAATAGAACTTTTCACACAGTTTTTTTTTCTTCAAGAAAATCCAAGACATGAACTGGAAGGTCTTTTGTGAAATAGTATGGAATGACCCATATGTCCCATATGGCAAACTTGGAAATTCCAATATTACTGCACTTCACACTTCAGAATGAGCTCCTGATATTGGTTGAAAAAACAGCTTGTTCTCCTCCCCCTCCTCCTCCTCCTCCTCCTCCTCCTCCACTGAGAACACACCAACTTATCTGAAGGAGTTAAGAACTGCTTATCTGCAAAGGGAATTGTTTGTGACATTTACCGATTACTGGAGAGCAGAAACAAACAGCCTCCACAAAAAGAAGTCCTACCTTACCACCACACTGAGACAACCAGTCTGTGACTAACACACCAGCATCACTGCCACGGTTAGATCCTCACGCCTCCGGTCCTTATGTGTGAATCAGGACCTGAATCATCAGCAATAATGACTAGTGAATCCCGTTTGACATCTGTGTGACAGGAAAAACAATTCAACTGATATTCATACACGCCAAAAGTCTTTGTGTTTTCTCACGATTTGAACTCAGAGTGTTTGTTCATCAGATGTTTACTCTTGAATAGAGATTTTCAAAAGCAGGATGGGCACTAAAGTAGCTCTACTTTCAAAAAGGTTTTGTAATTAGTTAAAATAGGTGTTAGCCACAAATGCTAATGTTTTATTAAAGGGATAGTTCTGATTTTCTTGAAGTGGGGTTGTATGAGGTACTTATCCATAATCAGTGAATACATACAGTAGATGGTGGTCAGCATGCCCCCAGTTTGGAGAAGCAGGCAGGAGTACTGCCACGGAAACTAAGCAGTGTATTGCTGTGAAGGGGGGCAGCAGCAAAACATATTTTGTCCACCTAAAAAGATCAATATCAGTTTAAGTGCTTACTATATTGAGAATTTTCACAGCTTTACCTTTCCGTCAGACAGAGATTTTCAAAAGAGAACTGAAGCCATTATCTTCGCTCTCTTCAAAGCCACCAGACTCCATTGACAAAAACAGTAATTTAATCTTGCAGAACAGGGAAATTACTGGTCTAGCACTGCCTCAGTGGATTTGTTTGTGTGTGTCATTGTGTGACTTTGGTGTTTTAAAGGGTTAGTTTGGATTTACCAAAGTCACACAATAACACAAACGAACCAACTGATCGAGAGCCTTAGACAAACAACTCCCGTGTCCTGCGAAGTAAAATTACAGTTGTTTTCAATGGAGTTTGGTGGCTCTGAAGAGAGCATAGATGAATGTCACAGCTTCAGTTCCCTGTCGGAAAGGGATGCCTCAAGACGATAAAGACATGAAAATATTCCGAATAAAGCGTATACTTCAACTGATAATTGATTATTTTTAGGTGGCTAATATATGTTTTGCAGCTGCCCCTGTCCAAAGCATTACATTACTTAGTTTCCTTGGAGGTACTCCAGCCTGCTTCTCCAAACTGGGAGTGTGCTGACTAGCATCTACTATAAGTAATACACTGACCGTGGATAAGTAGTTGATACAACCCCACTTTTCCTTTAAAGTGGTTGATCAAGCTTTGACCTTTACTTTGTTTGTGCTTTAGTCACCTGCAGACCTGACCAGGAAGATCCATGCTGGTGATGAGGTGATCCAGGTCAACCAGCAGACAGTGGTAGGAACCTTATTTTTTTACTGCTGTTATCAACATATTTGACCATACATATTGTTAATTTGAGTACATACTATAAATGTCAATGTAATATTAATGGAGGTTGTCTTTTTTTTGTTTGTTCTCATCCTTTGAATCAGGTTGGCTGGCAGCTGAAAAACCTGGTTGTCAAACTGAGGGAGGACCCCAAAGGTGTTGTTCTACTCCTCAAGAAGAGGCCCACAGGCACAACAGGTTTCACCCCCGCCCCGCTCAAGAACATGCGCTGGAAGCCCCCAGTACCACAGGTACATGCACACACACAGTTCACACACATCCTCCTTTCATTATGGAAGATCAACAAAAGCCTGCACGTCTAGTCATTGTCAACCAATTATCAGCTTTTTAGGGAGTTGGTTTTGAAACGACAAGTTCAGACAAGTGTCACAGAGCCACCCTGAAAGTGCTGCCGGCTGAATTGAATACAGCATTGAGTTTTTCTTCATGCACAACATCAGAAGCAAACAAAGTCCCATGATGTCATTCGGTCTTAAGAGATAAAGCTGCCAGCCGACAGTGTTGGAGTCTGGTTAGATTGTATCTGGTCTATTAGAATGAAATTGGCCAGATGTTGCCATCAAAAGAGGACAATGGGACTTAATGCATGTTATTTGGGTTCACCCTCTTTTTTTCTTTAAAGAGCAAACAGCCTAAATGTGCACTGTTCAAAGAAAGGTCAAGGGTCGCCGATAAATATTGTGCTAATAAGGTTATGTGACTGTAATCCAATTTGCTGTTCTCCCTCATGTGACCACATTAGGCTTAACTTAGCTTTTAAACACATCTCTGCACCTGAGTCCCCTTTAACAGACAGGGAGACAATACGCTTGTTGTAAACTAAGACTACCAAATTTCAGGCTCTGGTATTGTCTCATCACGCAGAGGCTGTTTTATAGCCTGAGAAGGCAAGATGAGAAGATATCAGATAAGAGTGGGTTTCTCGAAACAACAAAAGAGCCTCTCAACACAAAGGTGGCCAATGTCAACATCATCAGCAGCATCTTGTTTTAACAAGTAGTCAGGGGTATCAGTGTTAGACATCTGAGTTTATCTGAGATAATACGGCTCCAGAGGGCAAAACAAAGACAAATCATACACCCTGATTCAGGGGTGAACGACACTGCCTTTGTGATACTGTATAATTTGTACACATGGGAGCTATTTGCAAAAGGAAAAGGGGAAATGATTCATGAGATCCCAAATCGGATGTTAAGTTTGTTATTAATATATCACGTCTACTACACAGTATCATCAAACATATCATTTAGGTCTGATGAGAATGGCAGCGAGCAAGAGTCGTACGTCTAGTCAAGGGCGCAATATTGTTGAGTGTTGGGAAACATAACTGTGGTAAATGAGTACAGTTTTAAGTACATGTCTCGCGGGCTATTTTGGACTTCACTTACAATCTTTCCATACCTCAAACAAGAAGGTTTATACGCGGGGAGACACACATAAGCACTTAAATGTCTTACCACTTGTGGTAAACTCCTCCCAGCTGCCAGCAAGTCATATTTAGTCTTTAGCAGCAGAAAGCGATGACTTAATTTGTTGTCAGCAGTAAACCGATATTGATCTCCTGTGCTGTATTTTTTCAGAATAATTCCTCCTTGATCAGAGCCCAGTCTCCTTGCGGCTCAGCTAACGGATCAACCAAAAAGGAGAAGCCGGCTATCCTGGACTTGTACATCCCCCCTCCTCCTCCAATGCCATACACCCCACGGTGAGCTGTCCCGTTATATCTGCCAAGCTTTTTATTTCCTGAAGTTTAGCTTCATTCAACAAGTTCTAAAAGGATAATAATGAGTGTGTCCCCGACTCGTGACCGCCTAACCTCCCTCCCCTCCCCTCCTACTGCACATTCTGTTCTGCATGTCTTCAGCCCACTCTGCTCCCACCAGTCCCACCACAATCCTTATGCAACGACTTTTTCATCTTCCACCTCCAGGAAGTTGACAGAACGTGGTCACATTCACTCATAAAATGCTAGAGACTGAATTTTAATACAAAGTTTGTAGCTTTGTCCTATTTATTTCATTGGAATTAGAGTTACACAACATTGTTTTCTTACTAATCATACTAATGTACTGTAAACTGTAGTGGGATGTTGTGTTGTAATAAATAAATGAGCATCTGTTTCTCCACGCAGTGAGGGGAGGACAGACTCCTTCTGCAGCATTAGTAAAAGACCAAAGGGCTCTGAGTCACCCAACTCCTATCTGGACCAGGAGAGCAGAAGACGCTGCACCATCGCAGATTATGACAAGCTTAGCGTGGGCTGTCCCATCGAGGCCAACGTGATACAGCCCAGAATGAGGGAGCACAAGTCCTCGCGTGGTCAGTACTTTATCATTCATCTTGTAAACATTCCACCCACGGTTATAGAAAAAGTATGATCCTAAAACAATGCAACTGATAAATATTAAACTCTTGCCTCTAGGGAAGCCGCGGCCCCTCTCCATGCCAGTGGACACCTGTGTTGGAATTGTTGATCCATATGCTAAGCCCTGGACACAGGGAAGGAAAGGTATGTACACACATGCTTTCACTTCCAGGTTAAACCCCTGTTATTCCAAGATTCATGTTTGAAACTCAGCTGAAGGATTACGTCTGTATGTTTTGACAGGCATACTCATGGTTCATACAAATTTTGAGCACACTGCACTGTGCATCAGCTGTCTCACAAGTGACATTTGAGCACATGAATGTTGTCGAGAGTGAATATTAGAGGAACAATATTAGGGTAGAATCAAGATTATTACGTAACCCCCAATAAAGGTAAATTTGCAACTATTCAAAGACTTAAAAAGATCTATATTTTAGTAGTCGGTCTTAAGGACCTCCTTGACTATCACTTGCATCAATTATATGATCTCACGAAAGATATTTTTTAAAATATGCTTTAATTATTAAAGCATACATTATTTATGGCTAGCTTTTTCCCATTTTTCAGTCTTTATGATAAGCTAACTGTCTGCTTTCTCCAGCCCCATACTGAATGGACTAGGGCTGCAACTAACAAGTATTTTCAATGTCGATTAATCTGCCCATTATTTTCTTAATTGATCTATCAGTTTTATTTATAAAATATCAGAAAATAGTGAAATATGCCCTGTGTAGTTTCCCAGAGCCCAAGGTGACGTCTTCAAATGTTACATCTGACCAACAAAATCCATAGCTTATTGACGTTTAAGTAAAGAAAAGCATCAAATTCTCACATTTAAGAAGTATGAAACCAGCAAAAAAAATGACTTCAATGATTATTCAGGTATCAAAATAGTTGCCAGTTGAGTTCTGTGGATTCACCAACGGATTGATCAACTAATTGTTGCAGCTCTAGAATGGACAGGCATGCTTGATTCTGAATTATTATTCAAATTGAAGGCATGAGGTGCTAGAAGCACTTATTGACTGCTGGTTGTTGTTGTTTACTGATAGGACAAGTCTCAAAAGCTCTGAGATCAACAAATTTACAACTTTTCCTAATATCATGTCATTTTTTGTATGTCAATTTTATTTATTGATACTCAGTGCCTCCCTTTTAAAGCGGGATTAATACTTCTGCGTCAAACCAATGCCATACCTATGGCGTAGGCTCTGCATCGACGTAGAACCTATGCCTACTCTATGAGTAGAGGAAATCTTCGCCAGTGGCTAGGCTAATTTATACAATGTAAAATGCCATAGGCTTGTGCTAATAACATTAGCATGTTGTATTTGTTTCGAAAGCGTGTTTAGTATAAGTCAGTTGTTTTGTTTGTGAATCTTGTGAGCTGTAATGGAACCGAAATTTGTAATATTGCCTTTGTTACATGTTGCTGTTGTCCCTGGTTTCATGAGTAGAGGAAATGTCTGCTAGCTGTTAGGCTAATTTATACTGTGTAAAATGCCATAGGCTTGTGCTAATGACATTAGCATGTTGTATTTGTGGGGAAAATGTGTCCAGATTAAAGACAAGTGTTTGTCTGTGAATCATGCGCGTTATGATGAAGCTGATTTGTGTACTTGTGTTTACAGCACTTCACAGAAACCCTGCTGCTGACTATTGTTTTGGAGGTGTAAATGCAGAGTGACACAGATACACCTCCGCACAAGTAAAAATGCTCACAACGGCATAGGCCACTTGTGTAGGCTACATCACAGGGTCTGCATATAAGTATAAATCCACCTTAATGCTGTTGATAAGCTGACGTCTCTTTGTCTCTCTGCCTCAGGTGAAGACCTCCTGTACAGATACCTTAGCAATGAGAGGATCCCCACCATCGCAGAGGAGGTGCCCTCAGTGTCTCCGCCCTACAGGCCTGCAGGGGAACGTCACCTCGTCAGAGTGGACCACATCAGGGGCAGCCGCTACTACTCCAACTCAGACCTCCACAACAGCGCTACCATCCCCTACCAGGAGGACATGAAAAAGGCCCCCGTAGGCCCCGTCTCCAAGCGCGCAACGGCAGAACGCTCACTACTGGTCAGTTGGATCACGCGGCTTAAGCTATTGACTCACTGATGATGCGCTTCCTGTCCGGGGCTTCCTGTTCCTGTCTTTTGTCCTTCCTCAGTGCCTTTGATTTTTAACGTCCAGCTGTGTTTTTTTAGCAGCTTTGGGCTTTCTCACACTCCTCTCTCCCCCCCAGCCTCCATATTTCCCTGGTGTTACTACTACTACTACCAACTACTACTCCTCAACCCAACTTGCTTTTGTAGTACTCACTACATTACATCATCACCCCTTTAACACTGCCCACAACCCTCCTCGTCTCTGACTACAAGTCCCATCTCTGCCTCAAGAAGACACAGTTTGTTCAGGTTTAGGACACTTTGGCCTTCGTGTGCCGTCTCTGGACTCTTCTGTACATATTAAGCTATGTCATGTTTCAGTTGAAATGCTCTCTGGTACCGTTATTTAATAATTCAGAAAAACTTGCCTGATATCACTTCAGCTATTTGCTTATTTTGATTTCAATTGCATAAATAAGTTATAAAAACACAGCATATTTTGTCAGTGAAACTGTGCTTTTACTCTACATATTACTTCTTTTCTCTCTCAGATGACACTTTTGTGATCCGTTAGTTACATCACCCTCTACCAAAGGTTGCCTCTTGTAAGCTATGCATAAACTCCGGAGAGATTTTTACAGTCACTTTAGTTGACAATGCTGCATTGGTTGGTAAAAAGGATGTTTATATCTTGTCACTAGCAAATATTTGTGCTGGTTTTACAGCTATGCACTCTATTTCAGTAAAGGTTTGTATCCTGTGTTTCAGTTTACTCTGTAATTATCCACCTAAAGGGCCTATACATGCAGCTGGTTGACAGTAATACGTGTTTTTTTTACGCCGGTGTTTAGAACAAATCTTTTAGGACACACTGGTCGAATGGCCTTCTATTAGCTCACAGATCACAAGAGACAGAATGACAGTATTATTTAAGAAAACACAGGGAAGAAGTGTCTGTTGTTGCTTTATCTGCCTTTTGTAAGTTTTGAATAGCGTTTTATTAAAAATTGCAGTTTATGTCAGTGATCTTTTGTATTGTCTTTATTTTACTACTGGTGTCGAATTACTGTTAAGCATGTGGGATTTTATTTTATTCTGAGCTATGCTGTTCTAGTATCAGTTTACAGACCTAAAATGATATATGTTATCTTAGCGATCTGTCAGTAAAAGGCATTTTCAGTCATTATTACCTTACACTGAATACAGAACCAAACTATTGAGCCCGCTGGCTTTCTAACCTGCTTTGACCTTTGCGGTGAACCCCTCTCCTGCTTTGTAAGCATGCGGGGAAACAAGATAGCTAATGTCAAGCTACCTTTTTTCTGTGTCTCAGATGGTGATGGTTATGCAACAACTTCCCTCTTTGATGAACTTTAAATTCCAGCTGGGCGGCCATATGGTCAAAGCAGGTTTTTTTCCATCAGGGGATCTTATTCCTGCACATATGTTGCCTTTTAAACATTTAAAAGCCAGGTTAGGATTACTCTGCCTGACAGCTTTCCACCATTTTCATTGATTTGAAGAAGTGTCTGCCCGGGGGAGGATCAGCATCTCTCATCCTGGAACTGAAGATCTGACTGCTGTTGAGAGCGACACACCGCTCTCACCTCTTTCACCCTCTTTCCCCCTCTTTGCCTGTGTTTTTCTCTGAGCATGAATCTGCCGATGGAGACCTGATGGGCCCCTTTGCTTATCTCTCCTCCACTTTGTCTTCCTCATGTCTCGCTCTGCCCAAGCTTGCCAAGCTATAGTCGCCTGCGGTACTCACTAATTTGCACTTTCTGAAAACCTGTGGTCTGCCTAAATACTACCTGCACTCTGTTTAACCCACTGCTAAGTTTGCTAACCACTAACATGTTATGCCTGCACATCACAAATGGTCACATGGGAATGATGGGCTGGATTATTGGTAGATTATGCATGTGGAATATTTTTTTGTTGTTGTTAATTGATCATAAATCACAGACAGAGACATGAATGCAGTGAATGTTTAGTCCTCTATTTCTATTTTTTGTTCTTATCCTGGGGAGAACTTCAAGTTTGCCATGACAGAATTAGCAACAAAAAAAAAGTTTGTGAGCAAGATTTAAGGCCACATGCTACTAAATATGTTCATAATTTAGCTCCCTGCAACACAAGATGCTGCAGTTTTACAGTTAATACATAAGTATTGCCACATAAAGTCAAATGTTGGATGTTTACTACAAGGAAAAAATTAAAATCATATCCTAAAATGAGCCCACATGTCATTTAGATAAATTTATGTTAGCATATCTCAATCCAACTGAAGCATTCAGAGCAGCTACACCAGAGCACTCCATCTCCAACATGCGTTAACACATGAATCTTTATGTATCGCAGATACCCGACTGGCACTCTAGCAGTGACTTCCTCAACCGGTGAGTTCCTCCCTCTCTCCCACACACACACACACACACACACACACACACACACACACACACACACACACACACACACACATATACACACACAGCGTTGTCTATAGGTCAAATGGGAAACATAAGACCAGGGTGGGTCCGATTTTCCTACGGGGAGTGACAGTGAGCAGGCTGTGGAATCTTTTTAAAACAAGCCACGGGATTCAGGGTCAGTGGGTGGGCTGTTTTTATGATCAGGGAAAATACACCATGGACAACCAGGCTGAGACTCATACAGGGTACACAGAGAGATGGAGATAAACAGATGGTGACAGCTGTAGGGTAAAAAACCATACAGTTACTATCCAAGTGTGATGGTATATCAGTTGTTTAATGGTAAGGTATTAAGTTATCTTAGCTGATTCGTGCCTGTAGCTTTAGGAACTGCAACAACAGGGTTAGAAGTGATCTCCACCTACACAAAGTATCACTGCCCTGCTTTAGTCTAAGAATTAAAGATAAAAAAACAATAATTCCTAATAGATTCTCAAATATGTCTGAAAACTGGTTGTGATCAGTGCTTAAAGTATTAAAATGGAGTAATCTCAGCTTAATCAAACCTCTACAGATAAATCATGGTGTGTTTGTTGCAGCAGTGCCAACCTTCTCACTCCCTCTGAATGCTAAATAAAATTAGAGCCTATTATTAAATTATATTCCTGTGTTTTTTTTAAGACATTGTTATCTCTCACACCAATGTGTCCGTCCCTCGCCATCCACCCCCAAGACACCTTCACACACTGCAGCATCTTTAGAAATGTCACTGTCATGACAAATCCTGATTCTTCTACACTCCCAACTATAAATAACCACATTCCACTGCGAAAGTATGACGACACCCAAGGATTGCTGTTCCTCCGTCTCCTCATCCGTGGCCCCCTGTATCTCCTCTGGTCTTGGATGTAGGGCCCGAGGAGGTGTGACTCCCCACATTAACGCCGTGATCGATGACTAAATGCCTTGCACAATACCCCCCACCCTCCCCGGCAGTTCTATTCTAAGAGCCGCACACAAACGCGTGGCATCCGGTTTGCTGCACGCTCAATCAAAACACATTACTCACATTTAGGGTATATGGAGAGATGCTATTGTAAATCTTGCAGATACACAGTTGACTCATCATCAGTGGAGGTTTATAAATGTGTGACAATGATGCAGGCAATGGGATTTGATTGACGGTGGATTTAATCAAGCGTCATATTAATTTTGGCTTGTTAATCCGTAAAAAAAAAAAAAAAAGTTTTCCCTCATGACAAAGCATAAAATGTGACAGTGCATCAATTTTATTTCAACATCATTTGTCAAAACCATCAATTTGGTTATCTACAATAAATGCTGTGTGGGTGGGAAAGCAGAGTGTGTCAACACAAGTATTTAAAGTTGCAACACCTGCAAAAAAAATCATCAGTATTTCTTTTAGCAAACTAGTAATTTAAAGGAGGTGACAAAGATGTGAAAATTTATGGATGACAGGAGGAGGAGAGCACCGAAAATGTTCGCAATCGAAAGGCAGGAAAAATGAGCCTGAGACAATTCCATACCCTGAAATTACAGGGTGAGGCCCGGCTGAGGTAAATCCAGTATTTTGAGCATTGGGAACAAGTTTCGTGTCTACCCATGCTGCTGTGGCTGGTTGCCAGACGCATTATCAGAACCACTGGCAAACCAGCTAAATGGCAACCCTTAAACAGTCTCCATGGGATCTGTTGTGCACAGGCCATATCAAAGTGAGCTGGGGTTGAACGTAGATGAAGATCATGGCTGGGAAGCAATGAGTATGATTTAGAGATTTTCAAGAGACACTTGTCTGATCTAAAGTATCTCAATGAAGCTCTTTCAATCTATTTCAAATCATTAAGTGTTGACTTGCATTGTCTCTTTGTTCTCACAGGTATAATCAACCACAAATACGATCCTGGTCCTTCTCTCAAGCTGTAAGTATACTGTGATGGGTCAGTCGTAAACGCTATCAGTCCCATTGACCAAAGAATGAAGTGGTCATACAGTTTGTGTGAGCTGTGCCTACATTTGTGCAACTGATTGAGTTAGTGCACCGTGCAGTGTGAGGAATGCCACTGGCCCTGGCAGGAGGAGGTGAAACTGAGAGCCTCAATTACAGCCTCATTACATTTCACACACAGATGTGACAACAAACACGCTTTGTCTTGCGCTTGCTATCAAACGCAAACCACCAGAGCAGTATACGGCAACGCAACGCGCAGATCATGTGATAGGTCTGGACTGAGGATGAGGCCTCTGTCAGGCTGAATCCACACCATGACACTTCCTTTTTAGTCATGTGGCTGAAGGGATGGCAATGTCGGTCAGTCCACCACTTTGGTCCAGACCAAAATGTCTGACCAACTATTGGATGGATTGTACGGACATTAATTTTGCCCTCAGTATAAATTGTTACACTTTGGTGAATCCTTAAAGGGACAGTTCACCCTCAAATCAAAAATACTTATTTTCCCTCCTTCCAGTGGTACTATTTATCAGCCTAGATTGCTTTGGTTTGAGCTGCTAAGTGTTGGAGATATCAGCCGTAGAGATGTCTGCCTTCTCTCAAATATAATGGAACTAGTTGGCACTCAACTTGAGGTGCTCAAAGTGCCAAAAAAATACATTTTACTCAATGGCATTGTCTCTTTCCAGAAATAATGACTCAGTTACTCAAGATAATCCATAGACCTTGTTGTAAGCAGTTTCATGTAGGAACTGTTTTCTGTCAACTGAACTACACGCACCAACTGAATCACTGTGCATCTACTGCTAGCTCACGTAGCACCACTGAGCTGGCTAACGCTACAACTCAGCCAAGGAAGACGCCATTAATGTTTATACCTTGCGCTGTCACAAGCACAAGCCTCTTGCCCATGATTAAATGCACGCTTTCTTCTGCACTGTGATAGAGTTGGCAGGTGTAATTCAGTAGAAAGAAAACAGTTCCTACATGAAACTGCTCACAATAAGGTCTGTGGATTATCTTGAGTAACTGGGACATGATTTTGGAAATGTTGTAGCAGTTGAGTTTTTCTCTACGGCTGATATCTCCAACACTCGGCAACTCACACCAACACAATCTACAGCGATAAATAGCACTATAGGTAAGAGTAGAAATATGTACTTTTGATTTTGGGGTGAACTGTCCCTTTAATGTTTCATCTTGCAGACCAAACATTTTCATTTCTGACCACGTAGCTACAAAACTAACAATAATCCCAGCTTTGCTTTGTGTTTAGTGCTAATTAGCAAATGTTAGCATGCTTACACAAGTAACCAAGATGGTGAACATGTTAAACATTAAACATGCTAAACATCAGCATGTTAGCTCAAAGCAGTGCCTCACAGAGCAGCTAGCATGGCTGCTGACTCCTTGACTTGTCCTCATTCTCACTGCACGTGCTGCAAGTGAAAACTGTTCCAACATTTACTGGCTGTGGCAGATGCGGAAATGAAATGAACAAACTAAAGATCCCCGTGCTGTCGTTGCACACACACAGATGCCATATACCATGGTACCATAAGTTACTGTCAATCCCTTAGTGGCACATACGACTCCACAGGGGGCTGATGGATTGGGCGCAAAGTCAGTAGTGGCATGTGAACAAATCACATTTGTACAGATTTATGGTGAAACGGTGACTTGTTGTAGCACCAAACAAGAAAACCTTGACCCCTCTGTCAGCGTGTATAGGATAGAGGGGGGGATACGGGGATGAATGGAGAACTTTACTGCTTTTGTTGGTTTGGATTATCTGTGAATACACCTGAATGGATACTTCTGATGCATAGAAGATAGGTAATGTATTTCAAATCCATTAACTGTCATTCAATACTGCATTTGGAACTAGAATGACTCAGTGAGTACATTGAGCAAGAAAACTCTAAAGTGGTGACCAGTACCAGGGCAACTGGGCAGTTACAAGTAGGGGACATGGAGCGTCGTCAAACTGAGCAAGCTTGAATTTGATATAATTTCCAGCCCTGCGCCCTTCCCCCATTACACTGTGTGAGATTCCCCTGCTGAATAATAGCCACTCTGTTTAACCCCCTCTCTCATTTCTCTCCGTCTCACACACACACTCACACACACAGTTTCTGGGGGCGGGGGGCATTAGCTAAGTGCCGTGACAATTCTCAGCATGGATCGTGATGGGAGATTCACTGCTACAATAGTGTGACCAATTTGCATTCCCATGAATCCTTCAGGCCTTTGACACAAGTCGCAGGCAAAATTACCTCACTTCCACCCAAACACATCTTCAGCGAAATGCCCCTTTAAATCACCCTAAAGTGGCGTGCTGAGACTTTTTCCCTCATCACAGAATTGGGAAGAGTGTGAATTGTGTTGAAATCTTTTATTTAGTTCAACACATTTAATTGAAATGTCAGAGGGGAAGCTTTTGAGGGGTTTAGGGGTAACACAAGGGAGTTACTTGATATGGATGTGAAAGATAGGGTGACAAATGAGAGGGGAGGCAAAGAGGAAGCTACAGTGTGAGAATGTGAGAGATTTAAATGGGAGGGAGGGGGGGTCTCCTCATAGTCACTTCATTCCACTCGCTGCATTACAATAGCGAGTGGAGAGAGAGAAGAGGCCCCTGTCTATTTAAGCAGAAATGAAATGGAGACTATAATAACGCAGGACTCAAGAATGTGTCTGCTGGTTTACCGCCATCCCAGCACAGGCCAGCGGAGAAGCAGAACATCCAAGCTTTGCACAGATACAGCTCGGGCAGTGATGTTATGGCTACAAACCCACTGAAGGGTGTTGATAGCCAGGCCGCAGCCTCCCCGGGTCACAAGTGGACTCTGTAATATGAAACACTTATTTTTCTCCCTATTTCTGGAGGAAAACATTGTGTATTGTGAATGTGAACACAATAATAAGAAAATATGTTCTGTAGCACACATATAGCTGGGTCCCATCCTCCAGTGGCATCCAGTGGTGATGTGCTTATTTTTTGACCTAGCACAAAGTTAGTGGTGTCTTGTGAAACTAAAGTTTGCTGACAAAGGGGGGTAAATAATGCTCCAAATTAAGGCAACATTTTGGCAAAGGTACAAATGGCATGTCCATTTTCAAAGGGGTCCCTTGAACTCCCACCTCAAGGTATCTGAATCAAAATAGGATCTATGGGTACATGAGTGTTCCATAAACATAATAGGGCTTGTTTCCAGTAAATGTTTTGTTCCTTACAATCAATTTGTACCTTCAAATTAAAGCTGTATTTGTCTTTTCAAGGAAAAGGGCAACCAGCCTATTTGAAGAACAATGAATCGCCTAACACAGTGGTTCCCAAAGGGTTTAGCCGCGGGGTCCACATTTCACCTTAGTGATTAGTTCAAGGTCCAGACAGCTTAATATACTTGCGTTTGGCCATGTTGTCGAGCTAGTTCACTGTCTCTGTTAAGTAGCTGTCTGTTATTCACGTACTCTACAGCAGGAAACAGCTCTTTAAAATAAAAGCTCTGTGCCAGAAATTCATCATACTTCAAAATAAAGAGTGTTTTTTTTTTTACAAACTTGACACGTTCTTGAGTTACTTGCGGTCCATTCAGAATCAGATAATTGGTGCCATTACCTGTAAAATAAGAAACCAAAGTATGTCAGTATGCGATTCCTTCACTCTCCATATTGACATAGTTTTTAACTAGCCTATACACTTAAACAGGATGATGGGGTGGGGTCCTTGAAAAGCGTGGAATGAAAAGTTTGGTTTTAATAATCACCATAACTAAATTAAAATACGGTAGGCTGAATAAATCAGTTGAAAAACTAAACCTTGTATGAAATAATACTGGAAGCTCTCTGAGGCCCTTCTATCACTTTAAAGGTGTAAAATGGTTTAATCTGACCCTACACCAGGGTTAATCTTTAAACGCAGCTAGAACGGAGTGAGTAGCACTTTTTAGATAGGAATTGTGCAAATTCACAGGAAAGCCCAATCAGTCTTCTTTCAGCATTAGCAGTATAAAATGGGGGGGCGTGAGCAAGTAACAAAACATGTAGCTCAACGTGTAACGTAAACAGTGACATGGGGGGGAAGCCGCGGCTAGTCAGTCCTTCGGCCCGTTCTTCACCGTCCCCGTCATGTGACGGTTAATGGCCTCTTTGTTTGCGAGGACAAGGAGGGCGCACAATTACTTGTCTCCCCAGTTGCTCATTTTTACAGTGTCTGTCAGGTTTGTGTTTCCCTCTTGCTACAAGCTGCTCGCTAATTCCTACTATCAGCTGTTTCCTGTTTATTCACCACCAGTGGCTTGCACGTGCGGCGTCATCAACAGCTCCTCCCACAAGTCTTCAACAGCCCCTCCCGTTGTGGAAGGCCGCCTCGGTCTGTTTAAACTAAAAGGGTTACGCTAATATGACTACCCTATGAGGCGGAAAATTGGGCACCTCGGATCAACTCGCCAGTCCGGCTCTGTGTGTCTAAACACTCGCAGCTTGCCAGCAAAACAGCCCAACATTCGCCAAAAATCTGGCAGTGTAAAAGGGGCTAGTGACTGCTTATGCTGCTGTCAGGTCTTTACCCAAGAAAGTGAAGTCAGGATAACAAAAAAAGAAAGAATAGGGAACAAAAACAAACTGGCTTTTTAAAAGAGAATTTCAAGAGGTGCATGGAGAAACATGGACAAAGAAAGGGAGGGCAGGGGGCCCACAGAGACTGCTTTTACATAGGGCCCAGAATTTGGTGCTGCACCCCTGGTGATATTCAATTCAATTTTATTTGCAAAGCCCAGTATCACAAATCACAATTTGTTTCAGAGGGCTTTACAGCATAAGACATCCCTCTGTCCTTGGACCCTTACAGCGAATAAGAAAAAACTCCCCCAAAAAACCTTTAACAGGGAAAAAAATCAAGAGGTGGATCCCTCTTCCAGGACAGACAGACGTGAAATAGATGTCCTGTGTATAGAACAGACCAACATAAGAAATTTACAGTAATCCATATGACAAAATGATACACATGATTCGTGAACCTAAACTTGAGTTGGTGCACTCATTGGAGTTACTCTGTGAATGGCACATTCATGTATTGTGGTGATACAGGCCTATTTTTTGCAAGTAATAATTACCCAAATAAGTTTTTCGCATTGTAGACCCCAGTCCTGTATAAACTGTATTTATGTCACTTAATGTCCCTTAAACACAAACATCTTTTTGTCCCCTGAATGTTCAGTTTCTGGCATTGTTCTGGTGGCGCTCAATGCTGCTACAAAACGGTAATTTAGCGACACTTAGTGGCCATGAGTGGGAACTGCAAGGACTTCCTGAGATAAACTAATCATTTCACTTCAGTGTGAAACAATAACGATGCTACAACAGCTCAACAGGTTCTGTGGTTGTGTAAAATGTCCTCAAATGTGTGTCGAGTCAGTTTCAGTTTGGGTGTCACCCTGTTTGAGGCGAGGAAAGGGGGAGACACCCATTGAGGTCGTGAACTCACCTGAAACAAGCTGTGCTTTGAGAAATGCTCGCCAAAGTTTGGTCAGACTTTGAGCGGAGATTTCGGGTCAGTCTACAGTCGCTGAGATTATGGTGGCAGGTACAGTGACATTATATATTTTGTTAAACACGTCCGAAACCGATTCATTTGTCCACAGGCGATGTTTTTAGCATGCTAGGCCCACAGAGCTAAACACAAGACACCACCGGGCTAACGCTACCAACCAGACTCCAAGGTCATTTTTAAGGATTTAAGCATTAAAGAAACTCCCATTAACTCCGGCAAATTGCTTTTAAATGTAGGCGACAGTCGTTTAAATTGCCCTGAATCTTTAAATTACATGTTATTTAAATATTTCAGAAATACTTCTAAGTCATTTAAGTTATTTAACGTTTGAGAAAAGAAAGAAAAGAAAGTTTTAGGTTGAAAAATTATGTTTTAACTTCAGCTTTCATATTTTAAAACACACTTTTTACACTTATTTTATGTTTGTGAAATTCATTTTTGAATTTGCACGTCTTTATTTGCTTTTTGTGTAGATGGTAGATTCTAATACCCATTGTTCATCTTTATTTAGTTGGTAGCAACCAATTTGGCCCAAAATTCACAATCAAAAATGCGTTGCTTTGATTCTACCTCCTTCTGAAGAGCTCTATGTTCATTGTTTTTTTTTTTTTTTGATGATAAAGAAAATAGGTGCAGATAGTCTGTGGTTGGCAAATAGCTGCCAACTAAACTGAAAGAAGCTATAAATTATATGTGTGTGTATGTTTTGTTGCAGTCCAGTCAAAGATTGCATGTACATCTGCGGAAACATTTGTTCAGTGTGGATCTCAAATCTAAAATTACACTTGACCTTTCACATCTGCAAAAAAATCCAACAGGAACTTAACACACACCAGAAACACACACACTCCTCTCAGTCAGGCTTGTGCTGTGGTTCATGTGGTGATCATCATCGAGCTCCCACAGGCAGTTAACTCAAACACCCGGAAAACGAGATGTGATGCATCTGTGTTGTGCAACACAGAGACACACTCACTCACACTCACACACACACACACACACACACACACACACACACATATATACTGATACACAGAGGTTTAGTTTAGATAAGAGCTGTTACCAGTGGTTTGCTGCTGTTGTGTGAGCTTAAAGAGTGATAGGAGATACTGATACGATCCTGTGTTTGGACTTGATGTGAATCTGTGAAGTTTTAAAGCACCAGGTATGAGTCTTCCTCGCTTCTTTTATTGTTCTCACCGGGGACGTTTGTAGATTGAGTTTGTGGTGAGTGATTGGGTGCGACCAACTGCAGCAGGACTGGAACTCAGGACCCTGTAACCAGAGCGTCACCTGTGCTTTTACATTTCCTGACCTCAAAGCTGGTTTTTCATGTAGTGCTCAATCTGACATAGTATCATGTCAAGGTTGTGTGATAAATAGACTCTTGGAGAGAGTAATGGGGGGTTGAGATTTTTAATTACTATGGAATCGTACCCAGATTTTTGCTGTGTTGTATCATGGGAAGCTTTTCAGCGGTGGCAAGTTGTTAAACGTTTGGTGTTGTGTGTCTGTGATTTTCCCTCTGTCTCTCTCAGGCAGCTTTGTAACTTCACAAATAAGGAACTTGAGTTTGCAGAGGAAGTTAGTCCATAATCGCAACTAAGATTTCTCAATATCTCTCATGTCACTGTTTAGGTTGATAAATTGCAACAGAGTTCTTCTTTCTGGGCTCGGCATTGATAAAAGGCAATTTTTTGAGGTGTGATCCTACAAAGAAGACTTTTAATGGTGAATACTCTTAAGTAGTGTAGGTGGGGATGTGTCACAGACTAAACTGCTGACAGTGACCATTGTGACACCTAGGCTGTGAGTCAGTGCCTCTCATGAGAATTAACTTTTTTAAAGTTTTCAACCATTTTCTGATGCTGCTTCCCATTTCCATTGAAGGATTAATGTTGCTTCTCACTTTCAATGCATTGTAACACTGTCATTTTTTTTTCACTCTGAAAAACAGGAGAAAAAATTGAGAAACTGTCTGTGCTGTTTCCCCCATGACGTCACTTCCTCTTGTCACGTTAGAGCAAAGAATTGCTTGTTTTCTGCCCATTTATCGGCAGCGTAGCATTATTGCCAACCTGTGCGCCTGTAGGTAAAGTGTAACTTTTGGTTTCTTTCAACAGGCTGCGTTCCCCATATCTGTGCCCCCCTCCATGGCCGCCGACGACTACAACCCTGTAAGTGTTTCTTCCCTTTTTTTGTGTGTCTGGCCTTGTTGTCGCAAATAATGAAATAGAAACCCTGCTCTCCATTTAATGGTCAAACTACTTCTGCTTCTCCTATTTTATGATGACAGAGTGAAATAGTTATAGCAGCACAGGCTGGCTAGTCTTTAGTTTGGTTTCTCTCAGTACCATAAGTTTAATTTTAGCGGGAGCAGAGCTGGTTACAAGAAAAGGAGACCAAAGAGCAAAGAAAGACAAAGCACAAGGCAGAATGTCAAGATGAGGATGTTAGAGAGGAGGGGGGTGTGTGTGTTAATGTGTGTGTGTGTGTGTGTGTGTGTGTGGAGAGATAGAGAGAACAGCAGAGAGAAAATGCATGTGACACTTGCAGTGAGAAACAGGATGTTCCAGACAGCCTCCTCTCCTCAGCTGTGGGGTCTGAGACTGTTGATGTGTTGCTCTCGTCTCCCGCCTCTGACTCTCTGACCTAACGTTTGCTTCCTCCGCTCTCCTCCCTAAAGGTCTCCCTCCGTCACAAATCCAAGAGGAAGACTCGAGGAGGTAAGCTGCTACCCTTGAGCTCTCATCACTTTGTCTCTGTGTGTGCCCTCAACTGTAATTTGGACCTTCAGTGGGCGTGTGCGAAGTGGCAGGGCAATTGGTGTGTGCAGAGGGCTTTAGACAATGCTCAGTTAGTTTCACTTCAGGTCCTCCCTGTTTTAGCTCTCTGTGCCAGCGTCTTGGATTCCTCTGAGAAGCTGATGAGACTTTTATCTTATCATTATCTCTAGCTGATTCATAACTCGAACAGGTAGGCTGATTGTGGCATAGCACTTTTGAGTTCTGTATGCTGAGCGGGTTTGGTCAGTGTTATTTTTAGAATTGATTTGGTCATTGATCAAACACAGTGACCTATTTCAGCTCAAATGGAAATGTTTTAGCGGTTAGGATTTCAGACTCTGCAGCTTGCTTCGTCTAATGCTATATCTGCGCTTAACTGTGGCTTTGCTTCTCTGTGGACAAAGGCGAGTTGGTCTCAGTGCGTTCACGTGCATGTGTTTTCTGTTCACAGGCAATGGTACAATGAGCAGGAGAAGGATCTCGGTCAAAGAGCTGGGTCAGCCGGACCATCAGGGCTGGCTGTACAGGAAGAAGGAGAGTAAAGGCTTCCTGGGTATCAAATGGAAGAAGTACTGGTTTGTGCTGAAGAAGACGGCTCTCTATTGGTACTCCAACCAGCTGGTGAGTGAAACAGACTTTCATCGAAGGACCTGTTTATGACGTAGGCATGTTCAGCTGCTGTCACAGCTCATGTAGTTCCTCAAACCCTGAGCTACGCAGATTACTCAATATAAATACCAATAAAGTTAGGTTTCTGTTTCTCTGTCATTGCTCACTTGTGCAGATCTCAAGTACTCTGTCTCTCTCAAATACAGACTTGCTTGTTATACTATATTGATTGTGTTATTCAGCTGGTTTTCCATCACATGCTCTGATATATTCTGTCTCCCTCTCTCTTTTAAAGAATTATCCTTGGGGTATCTATATATCTGTTAATGTCAACAATACTTTAGGACTGTCTGTGGTTAAAAAAAACTGATCGCAAAAATATACTTGTTTTACTAGTTTTCGCAAACTTTACTCAAACAGGAGTAAATAGTGCATTTACAGCAGATTATCTTCAGCAGCAGATATACATTTGGTGCTTATTACAGCAGCAGGAAAGTGTTTGTGATATTGACTCAAGCTATAGTACAGGGTTCATGTTCATTGTGATGAATGAACGACGTAACAGTGTGCGTCATCACTTCCGCCAGGGAGGTTATATTTTTACTGGCCCAATATTCATGAAAGTAGGTGGAAGGGGGTAGCGTAGGCCAAGGTAGAACCCATTTAATTTTGGAGCAGATCGGAATCACAGGGTGGATACACAAATGGGCCCACTTGTTCAAATAGTTTAATCTGGTTCACAATGGTCCAGATTTGGAAATCTCACGATTTGCTGTCCAGGATCAGCTAATCCATCTTGCTTTTGTGCTGGATTTTCAAAGGAACATTGGGTCGGATCGCCCTGATTCAGACACAGACTTTTCAGGGTTGCCAAATCTAGATAGCCAGCACTCTAAATGGGACTACATATCAAAATGTAGGCAGCCTGCCACCAAGCATGCTCCTATCTGATTGCCGAAATCCAGTCAGATTACTTCTAAACAACTGGACCCTGGGGCAACCTGTATATGTAGTTGCTTAGACTTCATATATAAAGCAGTCATTATGGAGCATTCAGGGACAGTGGTTTCATGGGAGAACCGGTACAATAGTATAGACACTTTTTTCTCAAACTATGGAAACGTAAATACACACATATCATACAGCTAATTATACTCTAACTCACATCCAAATATCTGCAGTTAACTCCTCCAGAGAGACTTTACGAGAACAAGCCATAATATTGGACGCAGTTTAGAGGAACATAATAAAGGCACAGCTGAGATAGTGAGGCCTCAGCTAGGCACAATCATATTTTGACAGTATCCTAATAGTTTTTCAAATACATCCAGACATACAGCATGGTTTGGATATCTGACTGTTAAGTTGAAATCCAAACTTGCTCGTCTGGTTCAGAAAGCCGTGAAGGTCATGGGGAAGAGGGAACACCAATCCCTCTAGACACTGTATGAGCAGACAAGCACAGAGAATACTGTCTGACTCTTGCCACATTCTCCTAGCCGAGTACGAGCTTTGACCTTCGGGCAGAAGATGCAGGTTGCCCAAATTTAAACTGAACCGTTTTAAATAGTGCCAGCCTCAAATAAGATTTTAGATAATGTTGCTTGATGCTAAGGGGTTGTGTTGTGGTTTGCTTTTGGTGCTCTGTTGTGTGCTGGTGTTATGTGCAATACATGAGTGGCTATGTGCAATATTGTTATGTGTAGTATGTGTTTTGGAAGGCAGCAATTCTTGTACAGCTTGAGTCCAAGACAAATATCCCCACGGGGACAATAAAGTATATTGTATCGTATAGCATCGTATCGTATCGTATCGTATCGCATCGTAGCGTATCGTATACAGTATATAGTGGTTGCACTTGCAGATTTGCATATTATACAAGACTGGATTGTTTCCCTTGGCGGAGGTCTGCACTCTTGAGTGAAACCATGTTTACACCATGTTTAAATGTCAATAACTTGAAACACTTTTGCTCACCAGTGCTGGGCAGTAACTCTTTGATGCAGTTTACAATGACATGCATTCAAACTGATTAAGTATAGTGAAATATTGACAGTGATTTTTTTTTTATTTATTAAATATTGGGAAGGGTGATGTCTGTATTAGACAAAAAAAATTCTATTCAAAGTACTGAAAGAATAAAAGAAAATGTGGTTTTAAAAAATGCAATTAACAATATCTTTCATTACGTTTAAAATGAAAAACAGAACTCAGTTTGCTATGGTGCATTTTATTAACATATGTATGAAGAAATGCAGTGACTAATATATGTAACTTTTAGCAAAAAAGAAAAAAACCTGCAGCCCCAAATCAGATCCAATGTCAGGAAAGCAGTTTTTGCTATATTTATTTTAGCAAACCAGAGCAAAAAACAAAAAATCCCTGACTCTTAACACAGCATTAGTCTTTTTTAACACTTGTTGAGTCACAGACGCAGCGTGAAGCATCGGAGGCTGCAGATGAGTCATACTTTTCTCTGCCACAGCTGTCTCCCTGCCAGTCTGTCACTGCAGGAACCGCCGGGCAGTCTCACTGTGTTTCCTGAATGTGACGTTGTTCCTAATAACCCGACAGACTCTGATACAGGCATTCTTAAATGACGTGCTTGATTTACTGGCACTATGACCTCAATCAGATCTACTGTATGTCACCATCACATGGTGAGGACAAATAGAAGAAGTAGCCTGCTGCAATTTTATGTTAGGTGTCATTGTGAAGGAAGTGGTTTTACATCATCCGTTGGTTTTAACACATACCTTTTTTTTGTCTGTTTGTGTGTTGCAGGCAGAAAAGGCTGAAGGCTACATTGACCTCACCAACTTCATGATTGACAGAGCCATAGAGTGCAAGAAGAAACAGTAAGTGCACAGTTCAGTTTTCAGTTCATCTCAATCAGATAGCAATGATAAGCTGCCCACAAGTGGTTTGAATTCAAAAGGAACTATGTAATCTACTTTTTTGGGACCTGAATGACACAGAAATAGCTCCCACACACAGTGATAGGAAATATATAGTCAAGGTATGAAAATGATCAGTGAAGTAGAATAAAGTTTAACCCACAGTTTACATAATTTCCAATAGAAGCTTATTATCACTTTTGCTCAACTGCTCTTTGTTTACTCTTCCTCATGCAGTGCGTTCAAAGCTTGCCACCCACAGGTCATGATGTTCTATTTTGCTGCTGAGAGCCACGAGGAGATGAACTTGTAAGTCATATAAAAATACAATATTGTATGTATTTCTCTAAGGGTGTTTCTTTCAAATGTGTTTTGTCAAATGTTATTGAGTTGAATATTCTTTTCTTCCCCAGATGGTTGAATAAACTTGGGCTAGCCTCCATTCAATATGAGCCAACAGAACGAAGCACTGCAGTCGGTGAGCATCCATGGAAATCAGAAATGTATTTCTGTGACCTGTTACTGTTCTTGAATGAAAACCTTGTAACTTTTTAAAGTGGTTTCAAGACAAATTTATTGTCAAGTCAGAAAAGCATACACAAAGAAAGATAAGTGGCTGTGGTAGGAGGTAGAGTGGGTTGATGGGTCAATCCTATCTACCTCCATTTACCATCCATTCACCATTTGTTTCTGCGCACCATGAACTTTGTGATATTATTTAGTAATCACATTTATGGTTGTGACATGTGTTAAACAACTTTAGGTTTCTCTCTTTCTAAATTTAATTGGTTAATGGCTGAAGACATAGGACAACTGGAAGGTCTTTGAACATCCAGACATCAGGGGCTGGTTGCACAAAACACCTTAAGTTTTTTCCTTAAGTATGACACTTAAGGCTGACATGAAATACCTCAGCAGAAACTGACTGGAAAGATCCTATTGCATAAAACCGCAGAGCAATCATTAATTGTAAAGGGACTGGAGGAGCACAGCCTTGGATAGTTGAGTGATCCAACTCCAGATGACATTTATAAATTGACTTTCGGTCAAATTTATAGCACAAAATCCATCAGATTCTCCTGGTTGCGGAGCACTCTTCTTGGGAAGCCTTATTTTTTCCCAGTTATCTCCATAAACTCAGCCATGTTGCAGTTAAGATGGAGTCAGAGGTACTTTGGTTTTGTCCTTACTTTGGTTACAAAGGTCCAAAGGTTTAACAGACTTTAAGCAATCCTTAAGTACAAGACCAAGATAATATGAAAAACATAAATCGTTACATAAACATTTTAAGGAAACCTTAAGGATATTTTGTGCAAACAATTTTATCTCAAGGAAACTGTCACTCAGACTTAAAGTGAAATCTTAACTTAAGGTGCTTTGTGCAACTGGCCCCAGGGCATTCAGACAAATACAGTACAGTACAGCTGTTGACATTGAACTGAGAGGTTGAGTTGGTCAATTCTGAGCCCCACAAGACTAAAATCACCCACATCTTCCAGTTCCATCATAATTATTACTCCTTATTAGTTTCATTAAACTAAACTTAACTCACTGAACACTTGGATTCAGGTCCTTTGTGTCAAGAAATGAATTGTGACTTTGTGTGTGTCTCCCATGCAGAGTGTTATAGTGAAGCCAGTGACCATGAAGAAGCTGAAAGCACAGAGATCCCCCCGCCACCATACTCTGAACAAACCCTGCGGGACTCCGTGGATGCATCCGGTCCACCTGGAAGCACGCATCAGGTCAGTCATGCCTCCTCTACAAATAGTCATAACTATACAGTAGGGGCCATTCACCAAACAAAACAGTTGTTGATTTATTGTGGATTATTGCATCTAACCGTTGTGTATTTGTGTTTCAGGGTACCCTTCCTCCCCCCTACTCCTCAGCAGTCCCCAGCGAAGCCAACGGTTCACTCTCGTCCCCCGTCAGCACGATGACATCACAGAGCTCCTCCTCGTCGCTCGCCAAGCAGCGGCAGTCCTGGCTGGACCTGGTCTCGCAGGCATCCCCTCCTGCTGGGGAGACGGCAGTGGTGTGCTCAGTTCAAGTACACTCGCATCAACCTCCGCACGAGGAGACGGAAGAAGAGGATGACTCCCAGGTGTTGGAGAGCTCGTCTCATCAGGACCCGTCAGAAACAGAGTCCAATGAGGAAAGCCCTGCTGCGGAGGGGGAGGCACAGAGGGTGGTTTCAGGTGCTGGAAGTGAAGGTGAGACTTTAGTTTACTCATTTATTGGTTTGCACGTTAATATATTTTTTGGCACATTTTCAGTCTGTTTCATATTCTGTAATATGTTTCGCACACTGTCTCCTTTGTCTGTGGTCTGTTTTGTCAGGCAGCATTGATGTATTGTTTATCTGATACCAAAGCGTTTTGCTGTCTGTGACCTGGGGAACGTTTCATCCCTGCAGGACATGCTGTTATGCAATGTAATCTTTGTGATATGAATGCTGTTGATGCAATATAACTTGGTATTTTGTTACAGGGGAATGTGGGAACAGCTCAGATGAGATGGAGAAGCTGTATATTCATCTAAAAGAGGCCAGCCTCTCGCCAATAGGGGATCGGAAACCATCCACGAAAAGGGAATTCAGGGCCTCCTTCGTAAAACGCTGTAAAAACCAGACTGTCAATGATCGACTGCACCTTATCAGGACTCTCAACAGCACATTAAAGGTACATATTCTGTTCCATAGTTGTTCCAGAGTTTTTCTACTTTATATCACAGTACAGCTAGTGTCTGAATAACAAGTGTATATATGTTCTTTAGAATGTGGAGAACTTTGTGCAATTATTTAATTTTTACCACTTTCTTTGCTCTTTTTTTCTGGTACAGTCAAAGGAGGCAGACCTACAGGCAATAGAGCAGGTGTTGTCGGACCCAGGGTTGACCTCAGACAAGTTCAGAGAGTGGAAGGAGGCCAATGCACCTTTGGTGCAGGAGATCTGTGCCAAACAGGACCAGCAGGTGGCATCAGAGGCCACAAAAGCTGCAGCATCAGTCATTGCTGCTCCTGTGGTGGAAACCAGTTTATAAAGACTCCTGATGACTGGTTTTACTGTGTCTGGACTCGGAGGATTTCACACCCACATACCTTGGACACACACAGACTACTGTTCCATATCATCAGACTTTAAGTGCTGTTCAACAAGTAACTGGATCAATGAAGAAGAGCGTTTTTAGTTCCTAAATGGAGATGATGCAGGCATTATATGAGTAGCAGGTCACATAAAATGTGAAATGTGTCTTAGTATTATTTTTACTGTTTAATTTGTAAGATTAGTAAATTTTGCAGATTGTTTTTATGTTGTAATTCTGTAAACCTATGCATAAACTGTTTTAATATTTGGAACAATGGAGTACGTTGTAATAATGGATCCATTGTTCTCTGCATGGAAACACTTGTTTTTACGGTATGTTTTATCGACTTTGATTTCGTCAGTAGTGAATACTTTTTAACTGTTGTTGTTCAGTCGATTATTGGTGCCATGCACCATCACTGCCTGTTACACACGTGTTTTCCAGCAACTATTTTGAATTACTGGTCCGTGTTGTTCGCCTTAGAAATTGTCAAACTTAGCGTCAAGACTTTATAAACTGAACACCAGGGCCTGCACTAACAGAATAAAAGTTGGTCATGATAATTTCAGATTTAAATTTTTAAGAGTCAGTGTGAAATCATTGTTACCAGAGTAATTTAAAGCCAAGAAATAAAAAAAATCACTTCTTTTTCAGTTGAAACTGTAATGTAATTATGTAATATACTTCATGAAAACAAACTTTTCTAAGATGAAGAATTCCAACCTTAATGCAAACATGCTATGGAGTTTTTTTTTTTTTTTACCAGAAATAGTGACAATAACAGACATCTTAATTTATATTTTAGTGCAAATGTGATAAAGACTATCACTAACCAATACCAATGGTCTTTACAGTCTATTGGACTTAAGACAGGATGTAGCAGTATTAGTCTGCATTTAAACCTAGGATGCATGGTTGGTAGGAAGTCATTCAGATACAGACATCGGGCATTATGTGACTGAGCAGAGCCACAGGTTTAGAAAAAGGCCAGCAGACTATTAACCTGCTGGTAGGGGCCCAACCAAGGATCAGGCACAAAGACATTTTTTTTTCTGAGTTATGTTTCGTCTGATGTGCATATTAAATAATAGCTCAGTGTAAATAGTTGTAAATGAAAGTGTGATGTCAATTCTCTTGTAGATTCTGGTATGAAAGTCAGTGTGCTTGTTTGTTTACAGGGAAATAAAGTGTTAATACAAGACTGAACATTTTCCACTTTATTCATGTGGTCAATGTCACCACAGATGGTTGCTTGTTTATATACAGCCACCGCTGTGATGTCATGCTCTGATACAGTCAAGCAGCATAGGGAACCGCTTGGTATCGGCTGTAGTGTCACCAACCTGCCGCTAGGAGTCGTCGGTCTCTGCAGAGTTCCTATCGAGGTTATGCGCCATATTGGCAGTCTCCTCCATCTCAGCAAACGTCGAGCATGCATGTCTGTAGCCGGTTATTGAGGAGATATCTGTAAATATTTACAGACAACTGCGAGCAACACTATGGAGGCCGTCAAAGCCTTTAACAATGAGGTTTGTCTGAAACACCTGCACATTTCTGAACACACTGCGAGTAGAAACTGTTATGTTATTCACATTTGCCGTAACGTTAGCTAGCACGCTAACGTTAGCATCAAGTAGCAGAAAAGGAGGAGGGTAGCCTCACACAAGGCCGCTCACCGTGCACAACAATGCAATGATAACGTTGGAGTTATTCAGTGTCTAAATCATGTCAACTGTACTCACTATAGCTGTAAAGAAAATGTGTTTCTTGACACATATCGTGTTTGGCTGCCAGAATATGAGTAACGTTAAACATCTCCCACAGACTAACGTTAGTGCTAACGCTAACTAACCGTCGCTAGCTAAAAGTTAGCAAAACCGCTTCAGTTGCGAGATAACTTGGTGAGCCAACTAAATACCATGGCCGTGGGTAACGTAAAATACTCTTATTGACAGACAGTTATTACCAATAACTCTGACCTAGCATCTCAGAGCAGCATTATTGTTGTACAGAATATTAACGACTTCAGGTAACCTAGCTAGCGTCAATTGCTACAAGACAGTTAGCGTTAGCCAGGTTAACCGTTAGCCATCAGAGGGCTCTTAGCTAATAGCGCACCCATTTGTCTGCATTAACGCTAATAAAGTCTGTCTGCCCACCGCCATAAACGCTGGCCCCACCATTCATCCATGCACAATTAACTAACATGAACCGAATTCCACACTTGGCAGCAAAGGAATTGCGAAGGGCTGTTTTGTTATTGCAGAGGCAAGCCCACCACATCGTCTTACCAAGACCTGGGTGGCTCTCTGACCACAATCATCCAAATTAAGTGTTTTGCATATGGTAAACAAAGTTTCAGCTTTAGACTCCTGCTTGTTCCTATAGTCCTGAATAACTTGATGCTAGTGGTTACATTTTATGACACAATGTTCTTTTTGTTGTCCCATTTCATTTTTCAGCTGTACTCATTGAACGAGTACAAGCCGCCCATCTCCAAGGCTAAGATGACACAGATCACCAAGTCTGGAATCAAAGCTATAAAAGTAAGTATGTAGTGTTAAAGGATCATGCAGGTAATGGGGAATAAAGAAATGCACAAGAAAGAGACATGCTCTCTAATTCTTACATTAAGACAAATATTCATGCATCACCATGCAGGGTTGAGCATGATTTTTCTAGTGTTTATGTGTAAACATAGGTAAAATAAGTATTTTTAAGACACCAAAATTATGTGTCCATTTTTGTTTTTCGAGTGATAAGACAGTAAGCAAAATGCGAAACAGATATTGATTTTTTCATACCCTACTAAGAACGTGTTTCAGCCACGAACTGCATAAAGTGTGTCACTTGAATAATACTAAATAGAGTTTAAATAACATTCAAATAGCATATGAATACTAGTTCATCAAATAATGGCATATTTGTGTTTGATTAAACACAAAAGATAACTAAAAAAATAAACTCAAGCTAACATGAAAAAGAAATGAAAATGTAAACTCTACTTTAACAAGCCTTGTCAGCTCATATAAACTCATCCACAAGACCTAGTGCATTGTTTTTGGCATCCTACCTTTATGAATAGCTGTGCATAGTATGTAGGATATAATTATTCTTTTTATTGTAGTAGTTAAATTATGCAGTCTTGTGTGAGACCATGAATGGCTTGCATTTGCGTTTTAACTTCTGATGACTTTATCTTCTCACAAATACCTCGAAGAAAAAAAGGCAGTACCAAAAAATAGTACAAAGGCATCCGTTGTTCTTCATGTACCTCTTTATGTTTTGTGTAAAGCCTTGAGACACAAACTCATGTCACAGCAGCATGTAGTTGCGAGGCTTTCAAGTAATGCAGGCGGTAAGAAAGTGTTGTTGGGTTAGTGGAAGAATTTAGATGAGAGGCTAAACAAGCAGGCGAGCCAAATCATATTAGCGTGATGCACATGAGTACTGAGTGTTTTTGCTAATTCCAAATTGCCATATGGGACACCCTTACAATGCTGGAACATGAGCAAAGCCCATCACATGGACACTGGGCAAGTTATTTTCCTTACAGCTGGAATAACAGTTAATGTTGCTCAGCCTACCTCAGATAATATGTATTGTAGACATTTGGTAGGGGCTGCACCAGGATTGAGATCCTATGGGACTCATAATAAACTATGGAGTGGTTGGTTAAGGATAAAATTAAGTCGCGGGTGATGTAACAGTTTTTTTTTAATATGTGAAAACCAGACCGTTGGACCAGAATGCGGCAGTCACTTTTTGCTGTAGTTAGTACTAACATGGTGTAGTGTGCCTTACATTAAAGGGGCTCTATGCAAAATTCACCCTTTGTGGGGAACTGGAGGGTGGGCGCTATGCCTCTGCAATGAGATGTCAGCTGTAACCGCCATATGACCACAGTGCAAAGCGGTGGCGATGAGCTGGTTTTTAAGCTATGCTATTGAAAAATAAAACCTGTAAAATCAGCAATAAACAAAAGTGGATGATTCCAAAGAGGACACTTGAACTTGGATTAAATGGTATAAAAATTAAACTGAATACTAAAACTTTGTGTTTATCTATTCAAAAGCAAATGAATGTAACATATTTGCACCATGAGTATTAATCTATTAGCTGAATTTATTGCAAAGGCCCTTTCACACTAGACATTTTGACTTTCCATTACAAATAAAGCACAGATGTTTCAGATAACATAAATAGAACACAGCCATTGTTAAAGTGTCCCACTAACTCTGCAACAAGTGTTCACAATACCAGGGCCCTGAATCCAAGCGTCCAAACAGATTGAAGCTGTTATTCATTTTATCATTTGGCCAACACCCATGCTCTTCCTACTGTGAGATGTCAAATCTCAGTGCTTCTGTCTTGTGTTAAAATGAACAAATTGTTTTGAATGGAAATTGAGGACTGCTTCTCTGAGCCACTGCTCTGATTGAAAGCAATGTTAGAGCTGACTGTTTGATTTCTCACAGGTTCAGTTGTGTCTACATAGACTAAAGAACCCCAGTGGAATTACATGCAAGGGCTTCTGTGGGTGGTAAAAATATTTTAAGCTGAAACAGTATGACTAGGCACTTTTAAGTTGCACTCGTTTTAACACCATGTGTTCACAGCAGCAGCTTCAGTCCTCTGCCACACTGGACACCCTCAGTGACAGTACTGCTGTTTGGTCTATCAAGGAATATTCTAAATTCGATTGTGTAATTGAGTTGTATAAAAAATGTCTTAAAATAAAAAACAGTAGCACTACTGCAGCTGTCTGCCTCGTGTGGGCCTGGGCCACTGCACTTAATGTAAATTTTTCATTTAAATCAGTATAAATATAATCTATCCTGTGCAAAGTTAGGCCATTGGATAACATTTCACACTAAGGGGTTATCTCCTGTCTTAAAAGTAAAGACTGCTGAAGTGCCTTAAACCTGCATTCTTTCTATTGGCCAGCAGAGGGTGACTGCACTTGTTGCAAAAAGAAGTCCGATTGTATACATGTCTATCCGAAAAAGACCTTACTTCTCATTTAGGAGTGGGAGGGAGAGATAGACGATGTTTAAATGAAGTTTTGCAGTTTATGGCAGTATTTTATTTGCTTATTTTTTTTACTGTGTAGGTATGTAGGTGTTGCAATAAATATACCTGTAAAAGTAGAAGTAATATCTCTCGTATTGGTTTTCCTCCATTTGGACAAAATCTGTCGCAAAAATGGTTCGAACCTGTGTATTTTGTAGAAGCAATAATTGAACGTCATTTTGAGAGCCTTAGTGTAGTTATTCATGTTTTGGTAGCAGCTACGTAATCTGCAAACACTGTAGTTGCACTCGTAAACTGGAAGAAAATGGACTTGAAGCCTAAAAAGACCGTTGGGGTTGTGGCTATGCATGTAAACCAACTGTGCAGGCAGTAACGCAACCTGTCAAGACAGCTGCCAGAACGCGTCTTTTTTTGACAGCCTTACCTCACAGCATCCATTATTAGCAGTGGTTACACCTTATACAATATCAATAAACAGGAAAAAACTGAATTTTGTGTTTGAGTATTAGATAACATCTCAAATAACATAAAAATATAGTTACTAAATCTTGACCAAATTTTGCTGATTAGATTGTTTGTAAACTTTCTGTGACATATATAGAAACAGCTTCAAGTT